TGCATAAATTACATTTGTATTCATGCATAGGCTGCATTTGTGCATGAATGCTTATACCATAGGCTGCATTTGTACATGCATGCTTAATGCGTAGGCTGCATTTCTACTTGCATAATGCATAAACGGCATTTGTACATGTGAAAAGGCTCACACTCCTGTGCTGCTACACCCTAAATAAAAATAAACAAAGGAAGATTGCTGCACCAAGTCACGAAGTGTACTCTCACTTAAAATTTATATAAACCAAGAATGTGTAGTGCGCTCCTCATCCAGACATAAAAAATGAAATACAATAATCCTCCAGTAATCCCATGCAAGATAAATCCACACTACAATATAAATCCAACTCTCAAATTACACAATGTTAAACGCACTAATTGGACAATCACTCTCCAAAAGACATGCTTGTGCTTAAGATACTCTCCCTGCTCACCTTTAAGTTTGACCTACAAATTATAATAGGTCAAATGTGTTTTTACAGAAGTGAATCCTTCCACGTGGCGATTAATCCAGAATTTCTTCACTAAATCATGACTCCAAAAACGTGTATATAAAAAACAAAGATATATATATATATATATATATATATATATATATATATATATATATATATCGTAGTGCAACACCGTTTAAATTTAAGCTAATGGTTGAGTGCATTAAGTTATGCATTTGTGCATGCATACTTAATGCATGAGCTGCATTTTGTACATGTATACTTAAAGCATAGGCTGCATTCTGTACATGCATACTTGATGCTTAAATTGCATACATTCATACCTAAATGCATAAACTACATAACGTGCATATGCAAAAATTGCTTACATACATGCATACCTAAATGCATAAACTACATACCTGCATACTTAATATGATCTGGCGGTGTTTGCATTTCACAATATAGACCAAGGGATGTCAGATCTATCTTGGTTTGCAGCTATTCTTGCTGGTGGAGCTGCAATGGACTGTGGCCGCATATCATCATAAATGTGCCTGATCTCGTCTAAACTTGGATGCTAAGCAGAGTCATCCCTGGTTAGTACTTGTAGGGGGAGGCTACCTGGAAATACCAGGTGTTGTGAGCTTTTCCCCTCCAGAATCTGAGACTGCTGTGTTATGGGAAATATCTCAGGCAGAGGATGCTAGGGCAGTCTCTGAGGTAATGCGAGACACTCAACAGGTTCGCAGGACCAAAACGAAACTGGGATGTGAGGTCTATCTTAAATCTCTCAAGGCACTAGAAAGAAATCTAGACTTTCTTCTGTTTGAAATTGGGATCAGTCCATCACTGGTGGCTTCTCTGCAAGAGTTAGATTTCGGGTGTCCATTTTTTGTTTTGGAGCTCTGCCCTTTGGGCTGTCCGCAGCCCCCAGAGTGTTCACAAAGCTCCTAGCCCTGGTGCTGGGCTTGTTGAGGACAAAGGGGAGTCTCAATCTCAGAATACCTTAAAGTGGAGTTCCAGCCGTTTTTGTGTTTGTTAAAAGTCAACAGCTACAAAAACTGTAATAAACACACACTTACTTGTCCTGGGGTCCAGCAATGTACTCACCTGTGTAGTCCCTTCTCTCCTTCTGCCCTACACATTGCCGGCATCTCTACTGTGTGCACCAGGCTGTGACAGCTTGCAGTTTCACAGCCTGGTGCCCACTACTGCGCATGCGCGAGTCGCGCCACGCCTCCTGATTGGTCCGGCAGTCTCCTGCGACCTGTTCCAAGGACACTGCGGGGTCCAGGTACCCGCTCCCCCTGCAAAGGTGCCATATATGGCAGTGGAGGGGGGAGGAGGCAAATGAGCAGAGCTTCCACTTTTGAGTGGAACTCCGTTTCTAATGTTCCTTGCTCAGGGAGCAGTTGGTTCCAAGTTTAAAGTGAAATATAAGAAGTAAAGGGGTGTCCTTCAATACGTATTTGCATTAGGAAATGGTATCTATGTTGAAGCGATTACCTGCGTGCGGTTCCACTTCAAGTCTTGATAAAGGAACTTTCTATCATGAAGATCCCAGCAGTGTATGCTGTAGGGCTTTGTCCCTGGAGTATTGCAGAGTCCGAATTTATGGTTCGGAATCTGGAGGAGTAATTTTCCTTCCAGTGTGACATGGAAAATAGTAACCACTGGTGCCAGTATTTCTGATTGGGGGGTTGGTTTAATTGTTGCTACAGTTCAGGGAACTTTTTCTCCACAGGAGGGAATGCTGTCCATCAAAATCTTGGAATTTTGGGTAGTAGTGCACCTTGCTCTGGATTATTGGACGAACAAGTTGCACAGGTTTGTGGTCAGGCTTTGGTCCGACATTGTCACGGCAGTGGTATATGTTAACCACCAGGGCGGCACCAGGAGTTGTGCAGTTTAGGCAATGGTGAACCACATTCTGTCTGGCATGTGTTGGCAGTTCATACTCCAGGTATAGAGAACTGTTAGGGTTCCCCCCCCCCCCCAGTGGTCCCTGCATCCCAAGATGTTCTTGGCAAGTTGCCAATGTTGGAGCAATCTGTCTTTCCCCTATTCCACTATTGCCGTGTCTTTGCGCAGGATCCTGGAGGACATAACGCTGATAATAGTGTATCTGGCAGGGGGCGCTCCTTTTTGACACTTTCAGTCCGCCCAGACCTATTATCTTGGCTCCAATAATGTACCCTGCATTATGATTGCTAGGATTAAAGGCCTGGCTATATTGAGCCTAGGTCTGGTAAGATCGGGGGTTTGGGGGTCCTGTTTTCCCCACTCTGTTGAGCACCAGGAAGTTGGCTTCAAAGAGCTTTACATTACAGGACCTGGAAATCTGTTTTATCTAGGGTGAAGCCAGGTAGTGGCATCCACGGAAATGTGTGATTGAAAGGGTTATTTCCTTTTTTCCTACCAGGAGGGGAAATGGAATTGACCTTAAATGCCATTTAGGGTAAAATTATGTCTATTAATTTTTTCCCAGAGACCGTTGTTTCTCGCTCCTTGATTCATACGTGCAGTATGTAACACAAGATGGTTCCATCTGTCATGCCACCCTGGTGTCCTGGGGACTTGAACTGGATCTTGGCTGTCCTTGCAGAGGCCACCTTTTGAACTAATTAAAGAGATTTCATCTTTTGACTTGGAAGGTTGTTTCTTTGATTACTGTGACTTCGACAGGAAGAGTGTAAGAGCTGGCGATGCTTTCATATAAGGAGCTGTTCTAGGTCTTGCAAAATGATGAGGTGATGTCCTCATACATCTTCCTGCCTAGAGTGTTTTTTGGTAAATCGGGACAGTGTGTTGCCTTTCTTTTTATTCCTAGTCCACACTTGGCAGGGAAAAGTGATTCATACTCTGGATGGAGCTTCGGGTGTTCAGGACTTACCTGAGTTTGGTGGCACAGATCCGGAATCCTGGTTTGTGCTGCCAGTAGGACCCAGAAGGGCAGGCAGTATCCAGGTCAAATATTTATCATTGGATCCGCCAGTTAATCATTCAAGCCTATGTTTTAAAGAATAAGGTCCCATCCTTTTGGGTGAGAGCACACTCTACCAGGAGAGTGGGGGACATCTTGGGATATTCGCCATCAGGCACTCAGGTTGCAAGGCCACTGTATGGTTTTCGGTTCATACCTTCACAAAGTTTTACCAGATGGATGTCAGAACTGTGGAGGATTCTCCATTTGGCCTCAGCGTATTGTGAACAGCTGAGTAAAGTCCGTTTGGGATTGATGGCAGTGGTTATTGTGATGTCACCCACCCTTCAAGGTTCTGTTGCTTTGGGACGTCCCACATAGTCATTATAGCTTGCTCTGTGTCCCGTAATGTACGATAAAGGAAATTTGATTTTTTTTCTACATACTTGCCTGTAAAATCCATTTCTTGGAGTACATCACGGGACACAGAGGTCCCTCCCCTCTTTCTGGAATTTCATTGCTTGCTACAAAATGGAAGTACTTCCTGTGTAGGTAGGGTTATGTAGTGGAGGACTTCCTCTCTGTTTGGTTGGCCAGTGTACATTCACCTATAGGTGATATATAACCCACATAGTCATTATTATAGCCTGCTATGTGTCCTGTGATGTACTGCAAGAGATGGATTTTACAATTTTTCCCATCTCTTGAACAACAAAGGCATCTTGTTTAGAATCCCCAGCAATTGGCTATTTTATCAGAGCAGATTCCAGACTGTTGCTGCTTGGCTATTTGCGTTTCTTTTGATGGGTTTTCAGAGACTGTGCTGGGTCTGCATAAGTATTACAGCCTACCAGCAAAGGTCTTGAGGGGCCATTCATCTAATTGGGGCTGAGCAGTATAAATATTTTTTTTTTTACTTTGTCTCTGAAGTTGAACACCATCTTCTTGACTGCCATTTAAGGTGATCTACTGCTATGCAAAGCAATGGTTTAAGTTTAACGATAGCCCCACCAGCAGCATATTCACACTTTTTTTTGTTGGGGGGGGGGGGGGGGGGGGGGGGGGGTATCTAACTAGTTTGCATGTTTTTCTGTGACATTATCAAATAGACATTTAACTGAGGTAGATTTCTTGCCATCTGTTGTAGTGAACTCTAGCATATCAGCACAACATCTTATAAAAACTGAGACTTGAAGTTAATGAGAAATTATGGTGTTCTATGCAACAGTTTAAATTGAAAGAAATTGCTATCAAGCAGCTTTACAAAATAAACCAGTCTCATGGATGCAAAATATGCTGAGCCATGAAGGAGCTTTTTTTCTGATTGCGCCTTTGATTACATTATGTAATGTTCTTTTTTAATGTATTATTTCTTGTGATCAGGGCATCTAACAGACAGCGAGTGTAGTCAGCGACACTTTTCAAGGAAAGGGCCTTTGACTGACCGAAAGCGAAGTTCCAGCCGACCTCGGAGAAAAGGAGATGAATCCCAATCATCAGGTTATCATAGTGAAGGTCTGCTTTGCGGTATTAACAGGCTTCTTACTTTTTACCATTTCGTTCTGTTCATTCATTGTGGTTTTGTTTTTGTTTTTTTTGTGACATACTGCTTTCTGATTTGTCATGCTTTTTGCTATATTAGGTGAAACACTGAAGGAGAAGCAGGCTCCAAGAGCTGGGCTGAAACTTTCCAGCAGTTCAAGTAGACTGAGAGACTTTAAAGCAACAGTTAGCAATATGATTCACAACAGACCATCACAGGCATCGCAGACAACGCAAAGCTTGCATCATGTTGGAAGTGTTGTAGATCAAACAGAGATTAAGCCACTCTCCAGTTTAGCTGTACAACCCAGAGACTGGGAGCTGGAGAACAACAGCAATGAGGCAAAGTCTGGTTTATCCAGTAGGTATCGACCTACCTGGCGTCCCACACGGGAGCCCTTGAATGTGGACAGTATATTCAGGTCAGAAAAGAGGATCAACTCTACATATAGTCCACTGAGTCCCTTTTCAGAAGACTCTGGTAAGCGTTGTTTTGTTTTGCACATTTAAAAATTTGAGACTTTACTCACTAATGAGCTATATCTATACACTGTCTTATTGATGCACTATAAAGAAAAAATGCAACCAAACCCCAATACACTATACAGGTAAATTGAAACCATTACCCAAAGCCAGTTATTTACTTCTGAGTGGTGATTAGGGTTTTTCTATATAAAGTTTCCTCCAGAGACCTTCAACAGTCTTTGGCTACTATGGCTGCCTTGCTGCTGTCAGTAACACCGTTATATAGAATATTATGTATGTGTGTGTATATATATATATATATATATATAGATAGATAGATATAGATAGATATAGATATATATATATATATATATATATATATATATATATATATATATATATATATATATATATAGTGAAGGAAATAAGTATTTGATCCCCTGCTGATTTTGAATGTTTGCCCACTCACAAAGAAATGATCAGTCTAAAAAACGTATGGTGGGTGTATTGTAACTCAGAGACAGAATGGCAACAAAAAAAAATTCAACAGAAATGCATGTCTAACAAATTATGCACTGATTTGCATGTTCATGAGGGAAAAAGGTATTTGATCCCCTATCATTCAGCAGGATTTCTAGCTACCAGGTGTCTTTCATACAGGTAACAAGCTGAGATTAGAAGAAGTCTCTTAAAGGGAGTGATGATAATCTCATTTTGTTACCTGTATAAAAGACACTTGTCTACAGGAGCAATCAAACAATCAGATTCCAAACTCTCCACCATGGCAAAGACCAAAGAGCTGTCCAAGGATGTCAGGGACAAGATTGTAGACCTACACAAGGCTGGACTGGGCTACAAAACTATTGCCAAGCAGCTTGGTGAGAAGGTGACAACAGTTGGTGCAATCATTCGCAAATGGAAGTAACACAAAACAACTGTCAGTCTCCCTAGGTCTGGTTCACCATGCAAGATCTCACCTCGTAGAGTGTCAATGATCATGGCAACAGTGAGGAATCATGCCAGAACTACACGTGAGGATCTTGTCAATGATCTCCTGGCAGCTGGGACCACAGTCACCAAGCAAACAATTGGTAACACACTACGCTGACAAGGATTGAAATCTTGCAGTGCCCACAAGGTCCCTCTGCTCAAGAAAGCACACGTCCAGGTCCATCTAAAGTTTGCCACTGAAAATCTGAATGATGCACTGGAGGACTAGTTGAAAGTGTTGTGGTCAGATGAGACCAAAATCGAGCTCTTTGGCATCAACTCAACTCGCCATGTTTGGAGGAGGAGGAATGCTGCCTATGACCCCAAGAACACCATCCCAACTGTCAAATATGGTGGTGGAAACATTCTGCTTTGGGGGTGTTTTTCTGCTAAGGGACAGGACAACTGCACTGCATCAAAGGGATGATGGACGGGACAATGTACCATCAAATCTTGGGCGAGAACCTTTTTCCCTCAGCCAGGGCATTGAAAATGGGACATGGATGGGTGTTCCAGCATGACAATGACCCAAAACACATGGCCAAGGCAACAAAGGAGTGGCTCAAGAAGAAGCACATTAAGGTCCTGGAGTGACCTAGCCAGTCTCCAGACCTTAATCCGATTGAAAATCTGTAGAGGGAGCTGAAAGTTTGAGTTGCCAAACGTCAGCCACTAAACCTTAATGACTTGGAGAGAATCTGCCAAGAGGAGTGGCCAAAATCCCTCCTGAGATGTGTGCAAACCTGGTGGCCAACTACAGGAAACGTCTGACCTCTGTGATTGCCAACAAGGGATTTGCCACCAAGTACTAAGTCATGTTTTGTGAAGGGGATCAAATACTAATTTCCCTCATGAACATGCAAGTCAGTGCATAATTTGTTAGACATGCCTTTCTTTAGAATTTTTTGTTGCTATTCTGTCTCTGTGTTATAATACACCTACCATTTGATTTTTATACTCATCATTTCTTTCTGAGTGAGCAAACATTCAAAATCAGCAGGGGATCAAAGACTTATTTTGTGTCTGTGTGTGTGACCAAAACATATTCAGGCTATAGTTCTATAATGGATATGGGCTGAAAGTGCACACTCTCAGGTTTAATTTGAGGGTATGTACATCCAAACTGGAGGAAGGCTTTAGGAATTACAGCTCTTAAGAGTAGCCTTCCCCCCTTTTTCATGGTCCAAAAAGTAATTGGACAGTTGAATATAATCATAAATAAAATGTTTGTTTTTAATATTTTGTTGAGAATCCTTTACTGGCAATGACTGCCTGAAGTCTGGAACCCATGGACATTATCAAAGACTGGGTTTCCTCCTTTCTGATGCTTTTCCAGCCTCTAACTGCAGCTGTCTTCAGTTGTTCTTTGTCCATATCCATTATATAACTATAACTTGAATATGTTTTGTTAAATACCTGAATAAAACTAAAATTGGACCCAAATATATATATATATATATATATATATATATATATATATATATATATATATATATATATATATATATATATATATATATATATATATAGAGAGCGAGCGATATTAGGGATGCCCTGAAATTTTGGTGGCCAAAACGGGAAAAAAAAAGCACCGATACAGGTGCTGATAAAACCTCTCGCCGCCACCACCGGCCGCTTCTTGGTAGTTCTTAGCCTTAACTGAGAAACCATCGAACGATCCTGGTGCTGGGCGCGTAGAGATTAGTGAAGGAAAGATGGCCTCCACTCGTCTCTAAAACCCACAGATAACCTCAGGAGAAAAACTGGCTGGCTGCTCTGGAAAAAGACAGTGTGGTTGTTTCAAGGAGCACAATACAACTTTTGATCAGGGCCATTTCGGTGATTTCTGTTATTTTGATTTAAAAAGGAGCCAAACCAGTATGATAATAAATGGCTTCATATGACCACTATTCTTAAATAAGACCGTTTTTGGACATGATCAGTCATATTTTCAATGCCAAAATTTCACAATTTCTGCCAGGGTATGCAAACGTTTGAGCACAGCTGTATACTACCTGATATGTCTAATCCTTTATTGATCTAAATGTTTAATCTTTATACTGTAATGCAGTCACCTGTTATATAGTGTTGCCACGATTTCCCAGATCTGGTCTATTTGTTTATCATGCCATACACAAAATTTACTGGGAAATTAAATGTGGACCACATTTTTGTGGGTGGACCACATTTTTGTAGACTTTCGTGTTTTAATTTTGCTTTTTACTATCTCACTTTTCATGCAAATAGGTAAGGAATTTTCAGTCAGCGAACGAGAGAACGGCAACTCTGACTCAAAGGAGAAGCATCCATGTGTGAAATACAGGAACTGGGGCATGGGACGTGGTGCTCCTCACCTTGGTGATCACCAGCAGCCCCGTCTCATCCAGAGGATGGAGTCTGGCTATGAAAGCAGTGAACGAAACAGCAATAGTCCCGTCAGCATGGACTTGCCTTTATCTGAAAACTGTAGTGCTTTTCGGTAAGAGCTCTGGAGATAAACTTATTTAAAGGATAAGTTCACAGTTTGACAAAAGAGAATGTACATTTTTTTCACCTGCAAAAAAAAATGTGCATTTATTATTCTTGTTGCATGAGCCTGTAAAGCATTGCACCAGTGATTAGTGGACCGCTAGTGCCGTGCAGGTCTCCTGCAGACCTGTCAGTATATCTGCTTGCCCGTACATCCCATATGGGCAAGCAGATACACGGACATGAAGAATCAATGAATAAAAGATGTTGGGACTTCATTCACAGAACTCTGTGAATGATTGAAGCAGCCATGTGGGTGGAGCCCCGCATGGCCGCACTGCTTTTAAAAAGTGACAGCTACTGCTTTCACAGAGAGGGGCAGCATTGGGAAAGTGTTACATGTTCCACCCATTTTTAGGGTGGAACATGTAACATGTTCCCAAAGGTGAACTTGTCCTTTAAGAACTGCACTAAGCATTGCCTGTATTTAAAATGATCAAATCACATACCTACAAATGCTAGTTCGCTTCAGTGAGCTACTGCTTATAAGAATGCTTTTGTTACTCTTAAAAGAGCTCTGGATTGGCATAACACATGGAGCCACCAGGATGATAATCCCGGAAACTTTTAAGCTGTATACAGGATGTCTTTAATGCAGTTTTAAGTGCATCCTTGCTTTCTTTTGTTTTATCTAATATATAACTGGGTGCATTATTTTCAAAGTTATGTAGTTGGCAAGTTTGAATAAACACACCAGGTCAATGTGTGTGTATGTATATATGTGTATATATATATATATATATGTGTGTGTGTGTGTGTGTGTGTGTGTGTATATATATATATATATATATATATATATATATATATATATATATATATATATATATATGTGTATTTATATATATATATTAAAAACATTTAAGAGATCCCTGTATATTGCATTCATTAAGCTGCTATCTAAAAGGTTTTTTTTTTTTTTTAAATTCTCAACACTCCCTGCTGACATTTTCAGAAAAGGCAATGCATTCTCTGAATGGCGCTTATGCTGAGTGACCAACCTCCTGCGTTTAAAATGCATCAGGCCAGCCGCTCAGCATGGGAACTGGAAGCAAGTGGAGATTACTGGAATAACAGTGTCTACTAAAGTGATTTCCAGCTTCCAGGGGCATCAGCCAAGTATGGTATAAACAATGGTCCAAGGTGGAAGAATGTAGCTATTTAAAAATATGCCATACCCGAAATTCATCTTTAAGGTATGCATAAACACAAATGTAATCTATGCTCTACCATGTTAATGTAAGTTGAAATAATTTTCAATATTTTTAATCAGCAGTTTTTATTGAAATGATGCCTGGTGATATGGCATGAAGGTCCTCATGCAAGCATTTCCTGTTTCTAGGATGACAGTGATTTGTCCCTGTCTCTCAATTGTACTTCTTGCTTGCTCACCCTGTCACATGGTTCCCTCTGAGACTACAATTGGCCTTGTCCACTGTTGTCACTATCTGGAAACTAACCTTGAGAAATACCATGCAGATATCACTGCGGTACATGTATAAAGACAGGAAATACCTGCAAGAGATCACTAACACCAAGATGTGACAAAGAATAAAAAAGGTCAAAACAAATATAGTGTTAAATACATGGCAGTTGTTGTATGATAAAAAGGGGTTGATTCGGTAAAGCATTTGGAACACTTTGTTTAAGTCATGGTTGTATACAATGCCCTGTGCCAAATGTATGATATTTTGGCCCTATGGCTGTCACAAATTTATAAAGAACACTGTATTGATAAGGAAAGTGGATGTAAATAGACCTCTTCTTCTTGGAGTAAGTTGCGGGAACAGTTCTGCAACAGATTCATATACACATTACCCTCAGTTACATCAATCAGTCGCAAGTTGAGCCCTTTGTTACCTGGAGGGGGACAGATTTCTGCTAAGTGTACGTTACACTGTGAATTCCAGGAACAGCGTTTTTAGCAACAGAAGTATCATCGAAAGTTGTGGTCCACTAAGAGTTGTGAATTGGCTGAAGCTGGCGCATTTCATGCTCAATATATACAGATTCTAAGCCTTTTTGAAACTCTTATTATCCAGTTATTTTAACATCATGTAATCGCACCCTAGCTTTAGAAGAAGTTATGGTAGAGCGATATGTTTCTGTATTAGGGACCTGTACAATTAAGGCCTCATTCACACTGGTACTCCTGCATTCAGAATTTTTCTAAATGAAGGAAAGTCATCTGGGAGATATAAACTTCTATCTCTCCCAGATGACTATTTCCAGCATTTTAGATATTCTTGCTTTAGAGCAGGTTTAGCCTTGTTTAGGCGCATTTACACATTTAGTTGCGTTTTGAGTGTCTAATCTGGTCCTGAACTCACAGAATTTTTTTTCTCCCTATAAAAGCATCTAAACTGCTTGCACCTAAACGCTCGTACATGCACAGTGTGAATGGCACAAGGGAAAAGCATTTATTTCTGTGCGTTTTAGAAATTCCTCTTAATGCATATACAGTTGTGTCCAAAATTATTCAACCCCCAATGCTGTAAAGGGGTTTAGGGACTATAGTGTACATTTGGAATTGTATTCAGAATCAAATCCTACAAGGACGTTGTAACTACCCAAATGCAACTAAAATGACATCAATTGTTTATGTAATACAGTAGTAAATGGTTCTTATGTGGTTTCTTCATTGCCACAATTATTCAACCCCTTAAAGACTACCACTCTGAAGAACAGAGGTTCATACAGGTGCTTTCCATCAGGTATTGAAAACACCTGTGGATGTCACCGAGCAGCAATCAAGCATAATAAGCACCAATTAGGCAGCTTTAAAATGACTGTGATACTCAGCTCCTTCTAGACATTTACTGGTGTGGTTACAAACATGGTGAAGGCAAGAGAATGGTCCAGGAAGACAAGAGAAGAGGTGATTTCTCTTCACAGGAAGGGCAATGGCTATAAGAAGATTGCAAAGATGTTAAACATACCAAGAGACACCTTAGGAAGCATCATTCGCAAATTCAAGGCAAAGGGCACTGTTGAAACGCTACCTGGTCGTGGCAGAAAGAAGATGCTGACTTCGACTGCTGTGCGCTACCTGAAGCGTAGAGTGGAGAGAAGTCCCCGTGTGACTGCTGAGGAACTGAGAAAAGATTTGTCAGATGTGGGTACAGAAGTTTCAGCCCAGACAATAAGACGCACACTGCGTAATGAAGGCCTCCGTGCCAGAACTCCCAGGCGTACCCCCTTGCTGTCTCCAAAGAATAAGAAGAGTCGACTGCAGTATGCCAAAAGCCATGTGGACAAACCACAAAAAGTTGTGGGATAGTGTTCTGTGGACTGATGAAACAAAATTAGAACTGTTTGGGCCCATGGATCAACGCTATGTTTGGAGGAGGAAAAGAACAAGGCCTATGATGAAAAGAACACCTTGCCTACTGTGAAGCATGGTGGAGGGTCAATCATGCTTTGGGGCTGTTTTGCTTGCAAGTACAGGGAAGCTTCAGCGTGTGCAAGGTACCATGAATTCTCTTCAGTACCAGGAGATATTGGATGGAAACGTGATGCAGTCCGTCACACACCTGAGGCTTGGGAGACGTTGGACCTTTCAACAGGACAATGATCCAAGCATACCTCCAAGTCCACTAGAGCATGGTTGCAGAGGAAAGGCTGGAACATTTTGGAGTGGCCATCGCAGTCACCAGACTTAAATCCGATTGAGAACCTCTGGTGGGACTTAAAGAAAGCAGTTGCAGTGCGCAAGCCTAAGAATGTGACTGAACTGGAGGCCTTTGCCCATGAAGAATGGGCGAAGATACCCGTAGATCGCTGCAAGACACTTGTGTCAAGCTATGCTTCACGTTTAAAAGCTGTTATAACTGTAAAAGGATGCTGTACTAAGTACTAAGATTGAATGTCACTTGGGGGTTGAATAAAACTGAAATGAAGGAAAGTCTGTGAGAGCACAGAAAAGACATTTGTGGTTATTTTGCATTATAAGCTGTTATGTTATATTTTAGTCTGACCTACAAGTGCCTCTTTAATTTAAATGTAAGCAAGATGACTGAAACTGATCAAAAGCAATGTCACAGTGTGACTGGCCAAAAAACATCATTTCAGTGGGGGTTGAATAATTTTGGACACAACTGTAAATGCAGGTTTGACCATGCCAGTGTAAATGAGGCCTCATTGACCCATGGCTGTGCAAACTGCAGATCCAGTTGAGCAATATGAGCAGATCTGTTAGTTACACTTGGGTATCCAGGAGAATGATCTGACAAGATGACACTGTTCGGGATTGAATGTTGAATGGTTGCACAATTTTTTTTAAATTAAAAAAAACTTTTTTTTGTGTGTGTGTTTAACTGTTGCTACTGCATTTACAAGGACACCCTGGATTTTAGAGGTTGTTTTGGGAACATTTCTTTAGGAGGCCAGGGCAATGTCATTGATGATATATCCTTGGGCAGTGTCAGTAGGTGGGAGGCAATCGACAAAGCAGTCAGGTGTCGGTGGGCAACATTTTTATTTTTTCCCCCATTCTGGTTGGTGGTTGTCGTTCATCGTACAATGGATGTACATCAGGGGGCATTTATTCATTTTTAACTAAAGGACATGTCAAAAACTTATTTTATTACTGAGTGTTTCGGGGTGAATGAGTAGGGTTGCTGTGTATTCCATATTCATTCACATAGAGGGGGGGGGGGGGGGTTGGGGGGCAGAATTGGGTGCACCCTTGTTAAGGAGGGCTTCCCGATTCGGACAAGTCACCTCCCTGCAGCCCTACAACCACCAGGCCATGGTTGTGGGGAAGAGGCCTGGTATGGTACCTCACACCATCTTTCCTCCCAAAATTCACAGTATACCAGACCCGTTATTTGTTTTTGTTGTTTGTTTTTTTAACCTAATGTTGGTGCTTTTGTTGATTCTTGATTAGCAGCTATGGCTCCTAGGTGCTATTATGTGTCACTGAAGTATAGACATTAAATTGTGCAATTCAGCGATCAGTGTAAGTGGTTCTGTTATTGGTAAAGTGATGAAAAAAAGGTGTCATTACTACAAAAGTAAATTACAAAAAAGTGTAATATTTTTGTTACTGTGACTCACTTTCTTAAAGGGAATATCACTCAAGGAAAAGCCCCGGTACAGCTCCGGCTCCTACCTGGCGAAGCATTCCAAAGTCTCAGAGCAGCAGTGCATTAGATATGGCGGATTCTGCTTCCAGTGTTTGGGTGAAGGTGCATCCGTCACACGTTGGTAAGACTGACATTCATTCTAGATCACACCTTTATTTCTATGAACTCTGAGCAGTCTTTTATTTAAGAGATATATTGTATTGGACACCCAATACATTGCTAATATGCCATGTTTTGTGCATTTTATTTTACATTACTGAAGGCACTATGTATTATGTTAGCATGTTACGTTTTCATGCAAGTGGAATAAGTCGTATATATACAGTATATTTTCATTCACCATTCAGGGTTATGCTGGTTGTGTAACTTCTACAGAGAGTTAGTGAAATGAATGCAGAATTGACCCTTTTTCCCAGTCTACCAATCTAATACTGTCTGCCTCCAGCTGGCTCAAAAAGTGGTTACCTATAGAAAGCAATCTGATTCCCTAAAATATAATCAAATTTGCTGCTATGAGCTACTAATTAAAGTATAACTAAAGGCAAAACTTTTTTTGGATAGAAGAGTGGAGAGGGAATACACTAGCTGTCTGGGTTTTATTGCTGTTTGCCCCTTTGTGTCATGTTTAGTATTATCATTGAAAGTGAAAGAAAATCCCAAATTTTGCGTTTTTCCCAGAACAGTAGTAGAAGAGAAATTGTCCAGTGGGCACTTTTCACACTCCTTTAATTTTGAGATGAGGCTTTAAATGAGCCTAATCTCAAAATTAAGCTTGAAGTACTTTTTGTAATAGTTTTTGTCATAGTTGCAGCAACAGAAAATCCTGTTCCTTTGAAGACCGAGCTCGATGAACTTCAGGAAGAAGTGCAGAGAAGGGCCAGGGAACAGGAGATACGCTGGAAACGGGAGAAGGAAATTGAGGCTGCTATGGGCTTCAATCCACGACCCCGACGCTTTTTAGACTTGGATGAGTTACAGAATCAGGGTAATTCTGCCTTCTATTTATGTATTTGTGTGCCTGAAAGAAGCTACAGTATATTAAATCTCTTGTGGTCAAGAATTACATTTAGTTGATTGACTAGTTTTAAAATATGAAATTACTCCACATTAAACACTTCTAGCCATCAAAAGGGCCTAAGTAAAGCTTGTCTGTAATATTTTATGATAAAAATGGAGGTCTCCGTCACTCATATTTTGAAAATATACACTGCTCTAAAATAAAGGAACACTTTGAAAACACATCAGTTCTCAATGGGGAAAAATCTCATACTGGATATCTATACTGATATGGACTGGGTAATGTGTTAGGAACATAATGATGCCCCATCATTGGATGGAAATAAAAATGAACAACCTACAGAGGACTGAATTCAAAGACACTCTGAAAATAAAAGTGAAAAAATTATGCAGCAGGCTAGTCCATTTTGCTGAAATTTCATTGCAGCAACTCAGAATGGTATTCATTAGTTAGTATAACCCCCACGTGCTTGTATGCATGCCTGACAATGTTGGCATACTCTTAATGAGACGAGAGATGGTGTCCTGGGGTATTTCCTCCCAGATCTGGACCAGGGCATCACTGAGCTCCTGGACAGTCTGAGGTGCAACCTGGCAGCGCCGGATGGACCGAAGCATGATATCCCAGAGGTGTTCTGTTGGATTTAGGTCAGGCGAGTGTGGGGGCTATTCAATTGGACCAATTTCTTCATCCTCCAGGAACTGTCTGCATATACTTGCCACATGAGGCCGGGCATTGTCATGCACCAGGAGGAACCCAGGACCCACTGCACCAGCGTAGGGTCTGACAATAGGTCCAAGGTTTTCATCCCGATAGCTAATGGCAGTCAGGGTGCCATTGTCTAGCCTGTAGAGGTTTGTATGTCCCTCAATGGATATGCCTTCTCAGACCATCACTGACCCACCACCAGAACAGTCATGCTGAACAATGTTACAGGGAGCATAAAGCACAGGGCACCAGTGGCGGACCTGCCAATTCTGGTGTTCATTGGCAAATGCCAATCGAGCTCTGTGGTGCCAGGTAGTGAACACAGGGCCCACTAGAGGATGTTGGGCTCTCAGGCTACCCTGATGAAGTTTGTTTCTGATTGTTTGGTCAGATGGAGGTCATTTTGTAGGGCTCTGGCAGTGCTCATCCTGTCCCTTCTTGCACAATGGAGCAGATACCAGTCCTGCTAATGTGTTACGGACCTTCTACGAGCCATCCAGCTCTCTGGTAACTGCCTTCCTCCTGGTATCTCCTCCATGCTGTTGAGACTGTGCTGGGAGACACAGCAAACCTGGCAATGGCACATTTGCCATCCTGGAGGAGTTGGACTGCCTGTGCAACCTCTGTAAGGTCCAGGTATCGCCTAATGCTACTAGTAGTGACACTGACCCTAGCCAAATGCAAAACTAGTGAAAAACAGTCAGAAAAGATGAGTAGGGGAAAAAATGTCAGTGACCTCCACCTGTAAAACCATTCCTGTTTTGGGGGTTGTTTCATTGTTTCCCATCTAGTGCACCTGTTAATTTCATTAACAACAAAGCAGCTGAAACTGTTTAACAGCCCCCCTGCTACTTAACTGACCAGATGAATATCCCAGGAGTTTAACTGACTTGATGCTATACTCTGATTAAAAAGTGTTCCTTTAATTTTTTTTGAGCAGTGTATTTGAAAGCCACATATTTTACACCAAGGCTTCCTTGAGTGCAGTATTTTGCACTTTGTCAATTGCCTTTTCCTACATACATATGCTCTTGCTTGTTATGAATTTACTAGTTACCATTTTCTGTTTCTTGTTGTGTTTCATATACCCATGAGAAGACTTTAGCTAACATGTTAAAGCGTGGGCACCTCGTGTTTCTGCACCTTTGCAGAAGATGAGGTAGCCATTAGGGAAGCTTGTTCTCAGTTCCTGTGCTATGCATGTCTTTGGTGTTATAGTAAGACCACACTCTTTTGCAACTAAGACTTCTGTTTTTATTGGGATAAAAAGCCTTCCACCACCAAAACAAAACATAACAGAGCCTTCTTGTAGTCCAGATGTATTTTTACCTAATCTTTATTAAGCTGGTGGATAGATGTACTACCTATCTTAGTTGGACTAATGGTGTAATACAACCCCAATTCCAAAACCATTGGGATGCTGTGTAAAATATCCATAAAAACAGAAAGCAATGATTTGCAAGTCTCTTAAACTCATATTTTATTCACAATAGAAAACATCAAATGTTTAAACTGATAAAATGTATCATTTTAAGAAAATAAATAAATAAGGTCATTTTGAAACTGAAGGCAGCAACATGCCTTACAAGTTTGGATAGGGCAACAAAAAGCTGGCAAAGTGGTACTAACAAAGAGCTGGAAGAACATTTTTACAACTAATTAGTTTTTTTGGCAACAGGTCAGTAACATGATTGGGCATAAAGAGCATCTTAAGAGAGTCAGAGTGTCTCATAAGTAAAGATAGACAGAGGTTTGCCAACCTGTGAAAGGCTGCAACTAAAAATATTTGGACAATTTCAGAATAGTGTTTCTCAGTGTAAAATTGAAAAGAATTTAAATATATCAACATCTCCAGTACATAATATCAAATGATTCAGAGAATATGGAGAAATCTCTGTGCAGAAAGGACAAAGCCGAACCTCAATATTGGATGCCCGTGATCTTCGGGCCCTCAGACGGCACTGCATTACAAACAGGCATGACTCAGCGGTGGACATCACTGCATGGACTCGGGAATATTTTCAAAAATCACTCTCTGTGAACACAGTTCGCTGTGCCATCAAAAATGCAAGGTAAAGCTCTATCAGAGAAGAGAAAAGAAGCCATATTTAAACATGATCCAGAAAAGCTGCCATCTTCTCTGTTCATTTAAAATGGTCTTTCACAAGTGGAAAACTGTTTTGTGTGATCGGACAAATTGAAATTTGACTATAGAAGAGAGGGAGCTTCCAGCTTATCAGAACTCTGTTCAAAAGCATGCATCTCTAATGGTATAGGAGTACATTGGTGCATATGGAATGGCCAGCTTGCACATCTGGAAAGGCACCATCAATGCTGAAAGATTCATCCAAGATTTAGAGCAGCATATTCTCCCATCCAGATGACATCTTTTTCAGGGAAGGTCATGCACTTTTCAGCAGGACCATGTTAAACCACTTATTGCATCTATGACAACAGCATGGCTTCATAGTAAAGGGTCTAGGTGCTTGACTGGCCTGCCTGCATTTCAGACCTTTCACCAATAGAAAATATTTGCCACACATCTTGAAACAGAAAATACAGGAAAGAAATCCCAGGACTGTTAAGCAGTTAGAATCCTATCAGGCAAGAAAGGGAGACCATTCCTCCACCAAATCACCAGCAACTGGTTTCCTCAGTTATCAGCCATTTACAGCGTGTTTATTATAAGAAGAGGGGATGCTACACCATGGTAAACATGGCCCTGTCCCAACTTTTTTTAAGAGATGTTGCTGCCATCAAATTCAAAATTACCTTTTTTTTTTTTTTAATGGTTCATCTTCTCAGTTTAAACTTCTGATAGATTTCCTATTGTGAATAAAAAATGGGTTTATAAGATTGCAAATCATTGCATTCTGTTTTTAATCAGATTTTTTTTTTAGTGTCCCAACTTTTTTTGGAATCGGGGTTGTAGTTTGAGTAATTTTTCTATAGTATAAATTATGTGGCCATGTTTTGTGTACTTGCAGGGCAGAAACTAAATTATAATGTTCAATGGACAGGTTCATTCCAACCGTTTAGTATGAAATTGTCAGCTATGTATAAAATTCAGCAGAGGCCATAGTTTTGTTATATAACTTATAATAATCAACTTAAGTGTATGCAGTATGTGCTATCTCGCTTATTACTGATCATTTTTCTTTGCAAGACCAATAATAATTAAGACAACCTTGGGCATCAGTGTTATCTTTTCCCCTTAGTTTTGATAACCTGACTTCATTGTGTCTTGAAGTAGACCTTAACAAAAATGGCTTACAGCTCTGTAATAAGACCTGCATGCTATCTTTTCAAGTTTGTTACCTGCTTTTGGATTTGTGTTTGTGTGTGCAATAATACCTATAATAGCAATAAAAGAAGCCTGTCAATTTACGATATTGAGCTGCCACTATTGTCCTAATCTTTTATTAAAAAGTGGCATTAATACAAACATACTTGTGATGGAATACTGACCCAATAAATGATGAAATCAAGACTGAAGTTCCACGCCAAAAGTTTTTACATCCAGATACAGCTTCTAAAGTCAAATAGAAAAATTGTCATTGATCCAAAGTGTTTTGGGGTGAAACATCCCTTTCATCAGGATCTAAGACTGACAGGCTGCATGTTTCATTACCAATCTAGTTATAATTGAACTTACATCCCCAACAAGTGCAGTTTTCAGCGCAGTATACATTAATGAAATTGAAGCCCTGATGAAGAGGATGCGGTTTGACACCTGAAATGTGTTGGCTTGTGGACAAGTACATTTTTTTTGTTTTGGAATAAAGCTGTATCAGGGCTTTGAAAGATCTGGCGTGGTGCTTGTCTTAATTTCCTTGAGTTACAAGCCAGAAGGACAGCAGCAATACGTTTGTGTGGAGAAGCAGCATGGCCATAATCCAGATGCCCTGACTAATCTAATTTTAATTTTTACCACAGAAGGTCAATCCTAAAAGGGCCCCAGTGCTTCCACTCCATGTTTTTCCTTTAAGGAGAAGTGGAGCTTTTTTTTCCCTATTTATACTTACCTAGGTGGATGCTGCATCTGTCCTTCGCCGGCTCTAAAGGAGAGAACTCCGTGATTACATGATCGTGGCGTTCCCACAGCTGTTCTGAGCAGAGAGTGGGACTGTCAGACACTGCTGTCTGCTCAGCCCCTCCAGCGCTGGGCTGGGGAGGGGAAGGGAGCAGCTGGCTCAGGCACTCAGCGCTTCACTGAGAGGCTGAGCTAGGTTGGGATCTTTCCCCAGCCTGGACCTGTCAGCTGAAAATGGGTCATAGGAGTGCAGAACAAACGTTAAGTGATGAAGCATCCATAAGATATGAATGACATTCCCAGAATTTTCACCTACAAAACCAGGTCATCTATCCTATTCCTAACTCTTTAATCTATATCAGACTTTAATCTGTCTTTCAAAGCAATATTTCTTAATACCAAAGAGATGGAAAACTACAATCTTCCTTTGCTTGGGGAGTAGGCCCAAAGACATTATTGGGCTACACTCAAAACTTGGCCCTCATGGGGTGCACTTGCCTTGCTGCCCTCAACACAAGAGGGCGCACCGGCCTAATGCATTATCCTTTAAAATGGTAAATTTAATGTAAAAAAGTAAGTATTATACTTTCAAAGTCATAATACATCTCATGAGTACAGCACAAACAGTCCGTAAAACATCAAGGTGTACAGAAACAATGGAAAATCTAGAGGCTGACTTGTTTCGAGGACTTATCCTCTTCCTCAGAAATTTATCAGACTCTAGATGTTCCATTGTTTCTGTATACCTTGATGTTTTGCGGACTGTTTGTGCTGTACTCATGAGATGTATTTCCACCTTTTTGTGACTTTGTGATTATAATTTTTTTTACACTAAATGTACTATTTTAAAGGATAATGCACTAGGCCGCTGTGCCCTCTGTTTGTTTTCCGTTACTGCATTTCTTAATACCAGCCTACATTGGTTTTTCAGATTAACAAAAATATGACCATGTGCCATACACTGATCGAAACACTTAATGAATGAACTGATCTACCAAACCTTTCTTGCCTATTTAGCAATTTCAGTTGAGCATTTGTTTATTTTTCAGCTATGTTACTACTTGATAAAGGTGTAAGTTTCCTTAAACCAACATTTCCATGTGCATGGAATTTCTTGTGTTTTGATATCTATGCTAAGAAAAAGCCAAACCCGCCTATCTAAGGAGGCTGAGTTCACCTTTTTGTATTAAAATAATCAATGCACATGATTTTGCAGGGAAAAAAAAAAATGGATGCATTATTCTTTTTTCATGGATTGCAGGTGCATTGTCATGCTCCTGCAGACACTCCTGACAGCTGTCTGCTTGTACTTCCATATGGGCACACAGTTACTCAGCTGCAGGAAGTCTCAATGAACTATCATGGTGCGCATTGCACCCTCACAGTTCACTGATAACTACAAGCTGTCTGCCACGGTAGCAAACGGGACTTGTAGTTCGTTCATTCACAGATCACGGTGAATGACGCAGCTGTATGGGTCGCCACACAGCCATGCTGTTTTTAAAATTTATCAACAAAAGCAGGGAGAGTATTATAGTGGGGGGTGAGCGGGGCTACTGCATTAGTAACACGTTAATGTTGCACCCTAAATGCAGGTGTAACAGGCTTCTAAAGGGAACTTATCTTTTAATTCAGTAATGAGGAGAAACCTTCATTAACTTTTTAATCCAAAAGGTGTTCAAGCCAAGAATATGTACCATTTTCAAGGGGCCACTTAGCTGTAAGAAACAAAATGTACAGAAATTATAAAACGTTAAATTTCAAGCCTGATACTAAGAAAACCAATAGCTTTTAGATAAAGTATAAAAGCTTTCTTTTTTTTTTTTTTGCCTCTTGTGGGTGTTTGGGTGTTTCAGGGTCATGCTGAGCATGCAGAACATAAACTTCTTTGTTTTTAAAATGTTAAAAGAATAAAGCTAAATGTCAGATGTGCTTGGCAGTTGTTTGTGACCATTGTGGCAGACACAAGCTTCTGAAGGAGAAAAAAAGACATTAATTTGCTGAACAGAGTTGTTGTTAAGTGGTCATCTCCAAAATAGCTTTCCATCGTTGCCTCTGTGGCCATAGCAACTATGAGAAAGCTGATGGAAGGCACTTTTTTTTAAATTTATTTACTTATTTATGTAAGCCACATAAAAAGCAAATAAGAAATGGACAATTCTCTGTGGCCATTACAGGAAGGAGTGACAGCTTTGAGCGGTCCATGCAGGAGGCAGATTCCGTCTTTGAACAGTCACTGAGGCTGGAACAGAAGGGGGATTACAGTACAGCTATGGCACTGTGTAATGAAGCTATTTGTAAGTAACTCATAACCAATGCTTAAGTCTGCCTTATGTCTTGTTAACATGGCATGCTTTAACATGTTGTGGCTCAGCTATTGGCTGTAGAAGGTGACCTTTTTGTTTTCTGATTTTGTTTTTTTTTTCAACAGAATCCTTGCAGTTTGCTGTTAACCCAAAATACTCCATTGCTTTGTTATTCCTGCTTTTGTTGCTTTGCCCGTCTTTCTACAAAAGAGGCTTTGCAGGATGGAAACAGTGCTCTAGGTTCCAATTATTTTTCATGTGACAAGTGTAACAAAGCAGCTCTTTCATCTGGCTGTAACTTGGATCAGGAAGGGCCTTTAATTACTTTTTTCCCCTCTCAGCTAAAAGGTCCGGTATTGTTCGTTACTAGGCCAAATTTATGAAACTGCTGTGGGATTTTACACCACCAGTAGCTTTTAGTGCTCCTAAGATCATGAACAGCTTATATCTATACCTGCAGACCCACACTTTGCCAGAATGCAGAATTAGACTATTTTCCTTGTCAGGTTAACCAGTACATCCTGTGTGCTTGGTATCACTTTATTCTTTTCTCTTAATCCAGCCAAAATGTTTCCTTTTTAGATAGATTAGGGTCTAAATTACCTGCTTGGGAGTTACAAGTGGCCCATTGGCTACTTTTATTTTTGTGCCTTAGACTCCCTTATATCTGAGTGACCACCTCCACCTATCTGCGACTGCCGTTACAAAAGAGTCTCAATATCCAGATTATTTAATATATGAGCTGTATTTATACTGTTAATATATTTATACTACTGTTAAAAACTCTCTTCTGTAGCAGGTGTCAAATATTTTTTCTCCTAGAGTAGTTGGAATGAGAGAGAATATCATTGGGGCCCCAAGAGAGTCTAGGCAGTTAGCAGATGATTTTAGCCCCCCAGAGTCCAATTTGAAAATATCCCATATAAGGGGACTCTTAAACTGTTGACCCGCCCTTTTAATAAAGCTAAATGCCTGGTTTATGTGTCCTTTCAGTGGCTCTAAGGCTATGATGGTAACTGATGCATAAAATGTATCCAGGTAAAATGTTCTGAATTTTCTGGCTGCATAGGATTTCTTTCTTTCGGTAACCCTGAAGCAACCAGACAACTAGCATTTTCAGAAGGAGGTCCACAATAACAAACAGTCAGTGCAGCTTTTCTTAAGTAGTGAAATCAGATGGAGAGCAAAGTGTTAAGCATGAATCCTAGCACAGTCAAGTCTTAGTAGTAGACTAGCAAAGCTGGCATAGGATGGCTGGATCTTCATATTTGGTCATGTGCATGTGTAGTTATATCTGAAGAATCTGTTTGGTTAGTGCCAAAGTCAAACCTATGAATTGTGCAGGTGTCAACTGAAAAAGTTGCAAAACCACTACTATTCCTATCTGCACATCTCTTGATTAGAGCCTGCAGTTCATTGGAGCCATGGTGTTTCCACTTAATACAGCTAATATTATTTAGAGAGATTACTGCAGTTAGCTGGAAATCATCATAGAGTTCAATAAAAGGGTTTAGAAATGTTAAAGCCAAATTTCAACAAAACCGCTGTTTAGTGTACTGTAAGCTAGTTGTTATTTTTTTTTTCAAAGTGTATACTCATAGGAAAGACCCAATTCTACTGACTTCTTATTTTACAGCCTGTAAAATCCATTTTTAATTTTCTTTTTGTCTATTCTAATTGCATACCTCCCAGTGAGATAATGGCCTCCTCACGCTATTTCTTCCTCTTTTTACAGTTCATAAAAATAGATTGGATTAATCTGGGGAAAAAATTATTTGTAATTTCAAGTTACACATGTCACTGTCATGAAGTAAGTTTAGAGAAGGGGCAGACGGTTATCTCACTTTTGTTTTTTTGTTTTTTTTTCTTTTCCTTATTTTGGAAGGTATGCAATTATTGATGAGCCTGTTCCCACTGCCAGTCAAATTGGATTCATATCAATTGAGTTATATACATTAACATATTTAGGGTGCATTGCTTACATAAATGTCCATTGTTGATGATCTAAACAAAAAAAAATACATTACTTACTTTCCTCTGTATTGCATGTTCCCATGTTCTGCTCTTTTATGCATCCTGTTTTTTCTTTTTTATATTTTGGTTTGTGTGCGTGCATTTGTTTCTGCTATGTTTTTCTTTTGCATTTTAGCTAAATTCAGACTTGCCATGCATGATGCCAGATCTAGTACACACTGCAGAGCCCTAGCAGATAAGAAGTTGCAAATGTGTTTACGAAAAGCACGAAGTCTCCAGGACCACATGCTGCTGCCGGCAATTCCTCAAGCGCTGCCACCAGCTTACCCCTCATCACAAGGGGGAGCTATAAATCAATCTACAAGGTAGCTGCAATGAAACTTCCTTTATTAGGAGTAATTCAGTGCAGTTTTTCCCAAACTTGTCTTCACATCTCGCCAAGAGTGCATTATGGCAGGTAGCTTCACATATGCACAGGGTGGAGTACTTGATAAAACAGCAATATGATCTAACTGCATATGTGATATCCACAACATTGGAACTGTTGGCGAGACATGAAGACGTGTTAGGAAATACTGATCTAGTGAACTGTTGTTCTTAAGCATGGTTTAACATCCATTTAAAGGAAATTTATTCCTAAATTGCAATTTAACTGTATTTTGGGCAACATAGACAATAAAAAAGCAAATCATTTTTTTTTTCCCCCCCATTTTGTCTTCACAAAAGTGGATAATTGTGCCTGCTTATAATTTTTGCCTCTCCCACCTCAAGTTTATTCATACTGGACTTTCTTCAAAACTCAATAACAGTAGCTGATACCACAGTAGGTGAAGGTTAAAGGGGATGGCTGTTATGTAAACCAAAATAAAGCATTTTGGTGAATACTAGTGACGTGCTTTCAAAACAGATTTGGTTTGATCCATATTGTCTCCAATGATAGGTGGGTTTAACCTATTGATTTGTTTCCTTTAGCTTTTGTTTTGAGCAAGAGTCATAGGAAGCTTCACCAATGCTTAGAAACAGAATTTAGAGATTTTTAGTAGCATGCATCTAGATACCATCCTTCCCAAAATGAAACCTACCCCTTACACAGTTGAGAATATGGAACGGTACCAGGGGCTAAAAGCCTGCACTGATCTCAGATGAGCAAAGCAATGGGTCTCAATATAACATGAACTGCCCACTAGCACTATTGGATAATACTGTGATGCCGGCATAAAATCTAGCACTTTATTGGAACAAAAACTATAGTAAAAAAATCAGCCCCAGTCTTGTAAAAATCTAGAGATTTATGATTTTTGGTTTGTTCTTTCAACAAATTACTATTTCTAAATTTGTCAGATACTTTAAATATTCACCAACAAATTTATAATGCAACCTATTAATTTTATTTCCTTGCTTTAGTCTTAAAACCAAAGTCCTGCCAGAGGTATTTTTAATATTGTGTAAGACCAGTCGGAAATAGGGGTATTTCCTCTATTCCATCCTGTGTGCCGCTAGAGCAAGTAATTAGAGCATACCAGAAAGCACAGAGTGCAAAAAAAAAAAAAAACCATAAAAAAACAAAATCAGATGTTATAACCCTTCTACACACTATCAGAGATGCTGCCTCTTCTGTCCTTGTGACACCGTTTCACCGGAACAGGAAGCAAGATCCCCAAAAGGGACACAGCAAAAAAGACTTCACACTTACAGTCCAACGTGAGTGCCAAATGTTTTTGAATGATACAATTGATTTATAGCAGCAGAAAAGAGTCCATGCACTTCGGAGGCTAAAAAAGACTAACCCTTTATGAGGGCTTAGGAATTTGACTGTGCCTAAATGGACTCGGGTAAGCAGATATCAAATAGATCTGCTCTATGAATTACAGCTCAGAACTGTTTTCAGAAGGACAGTTTAAGCCAATGTTAAGTACAGTGAAAAAAAAAAGTTTTCTTTTGCTGGCTACTGTTAGGGCTATAAAATTAATCCTGCACATGGCCTTCGGTTCCACTGTTTATTTTTGTTTTAATGTTACAAGCATAATAGTCAACAGGGACATTGTCTAATGTGTTTCAACCAGTTGTAACACATCTTATGAAAGCAGTATTAAAGCCAAAAGCAAACCATTATATTACAGCTTACCAATTTTTAGATGTGATGGCTGCGTAAGGGTTTTTTTTAGGCTTGATTTCTTCTTTTTTTCATCTGGTTGTCCAGCCAGTAAGTCTAGCAGGGATGCCTGAAATGATCAGCTTTTATATATTTATGTAAAACCTTTATCCTGAAAGGAAAAAGACTGTTTGCTCAAACTGATTATAAAGTATTAGCTGGAGTTAGCTTCAATTTGTTAGTGCATCTAAATCTTCTAGTACTTCTAACTCTCCCCTCCCCCCCAGACTGACAATGCTGCTGTCCAAATCTGCCCCCTGTGCCTCTTCATCCAGAGTGGTGTTACTGGCTAGATCAGTAGCTGAAAACAGGAAAAAAAAATGAATACAGCCACCACATCTGATGTTTTGTAAGCTGCAATATATTACATTTTTGGTTTTGGGTTTAATAACGCTTTAACTATTACGCTAGTATTACAATGAAAGAGTATAAATTGAGGCCGTGTGCTGGATTCATTTTCTGCTTTATTTGGATGTTGCAACAGGGGAGTTGCTTCTGTGCACCAGGATCTACTTTTAATGGCTGACTAGGCAGACACGGATGAGCAGGAATACACTCACCGGCCACTTTATTAGGTACACCTTGCTAGTGCCAAGGAAATCCCCCACACACCATTACACCACCACAAGCCTGAACTGTTGATACAAAGCAGGATGGAATCATGCTTTCATGTTGTTTACACCAAATTCTGACCCTACCATCTGAATGTTGCAGCTGAACCAGCCTGACCTCTGACTTCTGACATCAGCAAGGCATTTTCCTCCACACAACTGCCACTCACTGGATATTTTATTTTTTTCTGACCATTCCGTAAACCCTAGAGATGGTTGTGCATGAAAATCCCAGTAAATTGGCAGTTTTTGAAAGACTCAGACCAATCCATCTGGCACCAACAACCATGCCACGTTCAAAGTCACTTAAATCCCCTTTCTTCCCCATTCTGACGCTTGGTTTGAGCTTCGGCATGTCACACTGAGTTGCTGCCATGTGATTGGCTGATTAGCAATTTGTGTTAACAAGCAATTGAACAGGTGTACCTTATAAAGTGGCCAGTGAGTGTACGTTTTATTTACTCAGCTACTGTTAAGGGTGACTTTGGGAGAGGATAGACTTCAGTCCATGGTTATAACCCTAACTTTAGCATTTCAAGTGCCATTTGCAAAATACCAAAATAAATATTTGAACAAAGAAAATAGAGAAAAATATTTAATTTTCTTTTATATAAACTCAAGTTCACCTCCATATAGGGGTAGGTGCCAAGTTTGCAAATACATTTAAAAATCAAAGAAATGAACACTTGTCACATGCCTTTTTCCAATCACTCATATTTATGACCTCTTACCCCAATTTCTTACAAAAATCAGTTTTTCTTAAATTTTAGAAAAATTATGTGAGTAAAGCTGTAGAAAACAGTGGCCTTCCAAACATATTTGCTAGTGAAGTCCTTGTGTTCTTCATTAATGCTATTGCAGCTTGGTCGTATTGTTTTTTGCATTGTGTTGAAAGTTGTAAAGCCTTAACTAATTTTAGCTGCTAATCATTGTCTTATGTATTAAGATTTCTCAGTTACATTCAGTGTGATTGAAAAACCGCCCAGTAATAGGAAAAGGGCATCTTGTAGGACTTTCTGTTCTTTTAACTAATTGAAACAATTGCTTATGAATTTTGTCTGAAGCAAGAATCCGTGTTGCCTCATTACATACAGTTTGATTTGACCTGACTGCAGTTAAGCAATGGAGACTTTCCATTAATATATTTCAAACAACTTATAGTCACGTACTTATGTCTCTTTTTTTTCAAAATACTTGTAACATTTAAAGTCACCCTGTCAGCACAGGGTCATTTTGTATGTGGAAGCATACCTGTAAAATAGGGAAAATACCTTTCAGATGGCCTGTTTATGAAATGCCTCCTCCTCTTCTGTTCCCTGACTGCTGAAAGTTTTCAACCAATTAATGGGGGAGACCACAGCTCGTGGCAGGGAGCAAGTACCGTATTTGCCGGCGTATAAGACGACTTTTTACCCCTTAAAAATCTTCTCAAAAGTCGGGGGTCGTCTTATACGCCGGTATAACATGACATGACACTTTTTAGGGGGGCGGCGCGGTGCCGCCGCCGCCGCCCCCCCCCTTCCCCTAACGGAAGGGACACTAAGTACAGGGGTGGGCAGGGGCTATTTCTTACCTGGTTCCGGTCCCACGACGATCCGGTCCAGGAAGCGCGGCTGCGCCTTCAGTTCGGTCACTGGAGTTCGCGCGGCTGCTCGGCTCCGCCTCCTCACCAGCGATTGGCCGCCAGAACTGTAGCTCAGGAAAGGCACACAGGCGGCCAATCACCGGCGAGAGGGTGGAGCCGAGCGGCCGCGCGAAAATCGAGTGCAGGACCAGCAGGTAAGTGGTCAGTGTAGAGGTGCTGCTGCAACCACATATGCTGGCTGCAGCAGCACCATACGAGAACAGAGTCAGCAAGTGTCAGTGGGAGGAATAGTGCCCCATCATTGGTGTCACTGATACCAATGATGGGGCACTATTCCTCCCACTGATACCAATGATGGGGCACTATTCCTCCCGCTGATACCTATGATGGGGGCACTATTCCTCCCACTGACACCAACGATGGGGCACTATTCCTCTCCCCCCCACTGACACCAACGATGGGGCACTATTCCCCCCCCCCCACTGACACCAACGATGGGGCACTATTCCACCCCCACTGACACCAATGATGGGGCACTATTCCACCCCCACTGACACCAATGATGGGGCACTATTCCTCCCCCCCCATGACACCAATGATGGGGCACTATTCCCCCCCCCCCACTGACACCAACGATGGGGCACTATTCCACCCCCCACTGACACCAATGATGGGACACCATTCCTCCCACTGACACCAATGTTGGGACACTATTCCTCCTATTGACACCAATGATGGGGCACCATTCCCCCCACTGATACTAATGATGGGACACTATTCCCCCCACTGATACCAATGATGGGGCACTATTCCCCCCACTGATACCGATGATGGGGCACTATTCCCCCCACTGATACCGATGATGGGGCATTTCTCCCACTGGTGTGCACTGGAAGAGGGGTAGTCTTATACGGCGAGTATAGCTAGGGGGGTCGTCTTATACGCCCCAGTCGTCTTATACGCCGGCAAATACGGTAATCCACAACCGAAAGTGTGGATTAATTGCAGTAGTAAGGAAACAGCAAAGAGATGATATTTTATTAAACAGGCTGCTGGAAAGATAAGTATATTCCCTCTTCTGTAAGGGGTAGTTTACACTAGTGTTGCTTTCTGAAGAGAGACCCATGTTCCCATCACTCTTCAGAGAGCATTTGACAAGAGATGAGAAGGCGTATCATCTCCCCATCACGTTTTGATGCTCTAAACACCACCCTAACACACCACAACCACATGCATTACACATGGTTTCGGGGTTACCCCATTCAGTTAAATGGGTTGCATTTAGTGGGTAGTATTGTCTGCTGAACATGGGGAAAATTTTTGGCGCACTGCGATGCAAAGCACCTCTGTTTCCTTGTAATTGCCGCATAAAGTGGAGCGGTAAAAACATAGGTGTAAATGAGGCCTTACAGGTATGCTTTTACATGCAGCGTGCTGATGGAGTCATGTGAGAACAGTACAGGTGTTTACCTGAAAGGCCTACAAGATATCTTTCCTCATATTCTGGCATTATTTCCTAGTCAGTACACATTAAATAATATGCCCAATACATTTAATTGCAGTGACCAGACTATCTCGGACAAAATTCCAATGAAGCGACAGACAATGCTGGAGACAAACACAAAGGAGGACTTCGCATCTACTCCATTAACATACTCGTTCGCCTCTAGCCATGAGTTGCTTCCTTCGTCTGCTGAGTCTTCCAGCTTGTCACCTTCTGACCATTGCCCATGTAGCAAGACATTTTCAAACTATCGTGTTCCTACAGATCCCATTTCCCCAGAGAGTGCCTCAACTTCTGTACAAAGCACGGCTGATAAAATGGTGAGAACAGATGATTCTAGCCCAGATCCTCATAACAAAAAAAGCATAGGGGTGAAAGAAGTAACAGTGGGAGTCCTGACAATGGTAAGGTGGCTGAGGAGCATGAAGCTAAAGATGGTCTCCTTACTCTCAGGAAGATGAAACTCAATGGCATTAAATCTGGCTCTTTACCATCATTACTATTTCCATGGGCTCGTCGTTCACAAGTGCAGTCTCCAGACAGAAGCAACCCACCGAGTTATTGTCACAAATCTGTCAGTACAGAAATCCATGTAAGTGAAGACAAAGTTGGATCCTCTAGTGTCACTTCAGTATCTCCAGCCGGTTCGACAGGTTTCACCATTCAACCAGCCAATGTGTCATCTAGAACAAACAGCCAGGATATCTTATTAGATAAGCACTCTGAGTTGAATATCTCTGAGCCCAGCAAAGTTGAGGCACCTAAAAGTAAAGGGCTAGTACGCTCGCTGGCAGAACAGTTCCAAAGGCTGCAAGGGGGTTCACCAAAGAGAAGTAGCTTTGGAGTAAATTTTACAGGAATTGACAGTTATGAGCAGAAACCTTCAGCTGGGGATCATATTCAAGATTCAATAAATCTTCTCGATACAGAGTCTAATCTGCAACCTCTGATAAGCCAAGAGAACAAATCAGTCAGCACAGATCAGACAAGCACTTCCCCAGAATCTGATGATGGCTTTTGCAATCTCAATGGTTCCAGTTTGCATCACCTGAGTAACCAAAATGACGGGTCACTCAAAGAACTGCAAATAGAGGCTGATTCTAGTAACCATGGGAAGTCCTACAAAGCAGAGAAGAAGGTGAAATTTGGAAGCACTGTCCATTTGCCTGCCTCTCTCCCCACAAACCAGTGGGTTGATAATGTCAGTCGATATTACAGTCCACAAATGGACGGTACAAATGTGGAACATCGTGCTCACCCAAGTTTGTCCCCTGGTCGAAAGCCCGCAAGATATGGCTTATCCAAGAGCTCCCTTGATTTACGCCAAGAGTGGAAGCAGGATTTTAAGCAAGAGATTTCTGAACTGGATGCCTTGTATAACAGCAGCCTGCAGTCTTGTCCAGGCAATAGGAATATGCAGTGGAGAGCTGAGCATGCAAGAGAGTCATTTGGAAAACTATGTGAGTACATTTACCCATTTATTTTATGTTATCTGCAAATGCAATGGATAATGGGTGATGATTGCAGAGTTATGGTTACACAGATATCGCCCAGCTAGGTAACAAATTGTTAAAGGGATGCAGTTAACTCCTATGTATATGCAATGCAACTGTTTCACATTAAGTTACATTTTTGAGACTCGATAATGCTCAGTAATGAAGGTTTCATTGGTTTTAAAGCAGAGTTGAACTGTTTTCCTACAGGTGAAAATGTTAGCCCTTTTTCTCATATGGAAACCACTGTGTTTTATGTTGTACTTTGCTTACTAAATGCAGATATCATGTGATTAGTCTCAGTGGCAGCTACTGTAGAAATGAAGACTACGGATACTGTACTGGAGTGAACTCAAATTAGCAGTACATTTGCAAAAATGACTTAAATGTGTGAAAAAATTCACTATGAAACATTAAACTATACATAAAAAAAGTATGAATACTTTTTTTTTTTAAAGTGATCACATAATCTCTGTTCTCAGCTGAGTTAAGGGGCTTCCCAGTGAATGAGTGCACAGGGAGGTGTGTCTGACCACTGGGGGATAGGCAGGCTTTGCTCCCCTTAACGTATAGCATGCATTAAGGTAAAAAAAAAAAAAAAAACCTTCTGCCTTTAGAACCACTTGCTTCTCGGCCTATGGTCAAATGATGGCCGGGCGAACATCTCATCCCTCCACGGTCAATGTCATCAGATCTGTGTAACGGCCCTCTTGCCAGTATCATGTGACCTGCTGTGACCAAACACAGGTCACATGACAGTTGTATACAAAGGATGGCCATACATTGTATACAAGTGTCTAGCTGTGAATGGTCACAGTGATCACATGCACAGGCTGGGCCAATTACAGCCCATCTGTGTCATGTGCTTAGCTGTGGCCTATCACAACTAATCACAAGAAAAAAAAAAAATCTCAATGAATCGATTTCATTCAGTTAAATGCTTGCTTATAGCAAAGAAATTCTTTGCTATAAGCAAATTGTGTAAAAAAAAAAAAAATTACTGATCACTTCCCCAAAGTAGTACAATGGTAACATTGTACTACTTTGGTCATAGTGTAATATGAAAAAAAAAAATCTTAAAAAAAGAGGAAAAAATGTAATAAATAAAAAAAAAATAAATTGAAGAAAAAAAAAAATTTTTTTTCGTACTGTCACCAGTCAGTGTCCCTGATCACCGCCACACCAGTTGTATGCTGACGCTGTACTGCACTGGTGACAGTATTTTTAAAATAAATTGTGAAAATAATTTAAATTTCTTCATTTTCCGAAAAATGACAAAAAAAAATACAACTTCAAAAAACTCGCCATGCTTCTTAGCAACTACGTGGGACTGTCTACCTTGCAAAAAAGGGGTCATTTGGGGGATATCTGTACCGTTCTGACATTTTTGGGCCTCAAGAAATTAGATTGGTCGTCAGTACGTCAGGATCAATTTTCAGATATATCCCATACCGGGGTGGACTGACCATTTGGAAACTCGAGCACTGCCCCGGGGCAGTGCCCTCAGTAGGGGGCCCCATGAGATGCCCCTGGTACCTTTTTCATAGGCTTTTTTTGAGTTTGGGCAAGGACACAGGGGCCCCATGATCCCCTATTGCCTGGGGGCCCCATGAGTTGTCAGTCTGCCACTGATCCCATAGTTTGTGAACTCTATAACTTTCCTACAGGCTAAACAATAAATCCTAATTTGGGTTATTTTCACCAAAGACATGTAGCAGAATACATCTTGGCCTATGTTTATGAAGAACAATTATTTATTTGCAAACTTTTATAACAGAAACAAAAATGTTTTTTTTCTTTTTTTTTTTTCAAAATTTTCAGTCTTTTTTTTGTTAATTTAGCAAAAAATTAAAACCCCAGTGGTGATTAACCTCTTGCTGACTGCAGATAGCTGAATGATGGCTGCGCTGCGGCCAGCCAGTTCTGCGTGATGATCAGTGCCCTGATAATTGGTGCCACCCACAAGTGCCTATCAGTTCCCACCAGTGCAGCCCAGCAGTGCCCATCATTAGTGCCAGCTCAACAGTGCTGCCCATCAGTGCTGCCTATCCGTGCCACCTCATCAGTGCCACCTATCAGTGCCCATCAGTGCTGCCTATCAGTTCAGCCTCAACGTGCATCAGTGAAGGTGAAAAATTACCTGTTTGCAAAATTTTATGATAGAAACAAAGAAAAACTTTTTTTTTTTCAAATTTTTTTGCTCTTTTTTTTGTTTAGAGCACAAAAAATAAAACGCCCAGTGGCGAGTAAATACCACCAAAAGAAAGCTCTATTTGTGTGAAAAAATGATAAAACATTTCATATGGGTACAGTGTTGCATGGCCGCGCAACTGCCATTCAAAGTGTGACAGCACTGAAAGCTGAAAATTGGCTTGGTAAGGAAGGGGGTATAAGTGCCTGGTAGGCAAGTGGCTAAATACCACCAAAAGAAAGCTCTAGTTGTTTGAACAAAATGATAAAGATTTAGTTTGAATAGCAATTGCGCAGTCATGCAACACTGTACCCAAAGTGTGAAAGCGCTGAAACCTGAAAATTGGCCTGGGCAGGAAGGGGGTAGAAGTGTCCGGAACTGAAGTGGTTAAACCTGAACTCCAGTTATAGAAACCATTTTATTTTCTTTTTGGATAATGGTTTTACACAAATGAGTAAAAGCTCACCATTGTAAAGACCCTTAGAGGGTTGAGACCAACCATTAAACACTCAAACGTCTGCTGACAGCTTGGGCTGTTAAGTTGAAAAATAAGACTGGTTGGCTCACCAGGTGAAAATAAAGGGGGGGAAAAAAGCCTAAAGGAAATTAATGCAGCCACTTCTAAGGATTTGTAAGCTGCAATATATAAAACTTAGTTTTTTGCGTTTAATACCACTTTGGGAATTAGACATCATTTATATTGTATTCCGTCAGACAGATCTGTATAAAACGTAGATGAGCAGCATTACTTACACAGTAAATCTCTCTATTGCCACACAAACCTTTATGGTATAAAAAAGGAAACCCATTCATTAAAGAGACTCTAATATTTAGTTTCTCTTGCTTTGACGGACAAAGCTCTTCTTAACCTTGACTGTAAGGTTTATAGCACCACCTACAGGAGTAGGACATTAGGCAGAAAAAGAGCTCGGCACCGCCTATGTGCAGTAGTAGCTGGTATCAAACCCTTTCTGCTGTATGCAGCTCAGGTATCTCTGCCTAGTGTTTCAGGAATAATAACCTAGTTCCCTGCTGAAACTTGTGGTTACCTAGCCTTTTTTCCTGTCTAGATCTTCAGTCAACAGCCAGGCTGGGCAACGGGCTGGATAATCTAGATTCAGTGGTCTGGCTAACGAGCACATACAGACCTTTAACTACGCACTAGGTCGGCTGCCCGTTACTGGCCCGGGCGTGGCCCTGCGGGGTTGTCATCTGTCCCTCCAGGCCTGCATCTCTTGCCAGTCCCTATGGCCTGTTCCACTCTCCCCCCGGGTTCTTGGCTCTGTGAGCCTGAGTGCATGTCATGTGTTGCTGCAGGTGTTCAACGTGCAAGTGACCCCCTGGTTTGGTACAGAAGGGGTCCACTAGGGCCTTGGTGGATCTACTATATGCGGGCCCTCCTCCCCATTTTCCTGATTGATATAGGGCCCATAGGAGCATGTGGTGCATGTTTGGGTATGCTTAACTCGCTGCTGCGGTCAGGGTAGTACTTTGGACCCCACCCAGCCAGTATTTGATGCGAAGCCCTCCAGTATTTCCACCACACAATCTGGCTTTGTGGCCTCCGGCAGTGGGCCCTGCGCCTACCATTCATCACTTGCGGATATGCCGGAGCCGGCATTCTTGCCCTGTTAAGGAAATGGGGCTGGAATGAGCAGCTTTTTGGGCATGCTGTAGCACCTGCCATGTTTACTGAGGGCATCCACTCTTACTGGTCCGCCCTTCACACAATGCTCCGTACCAGTGTTGTGGGCAGATTGGCTGCAGCCTGTCGCCCTTGTCTGGAGGGTTGGAGCTACGATAGGCGGGCACTGGGGGACTGTTATATCTGTTGTAACTTAAGATCCTCTCCTTTTGCTGCTCTTCTTACACCCGTGCTCTATACCTGCACTGGTCCTGGAAAGGACATAAGAGGAGAGAATCATTGTCCTGGTATAACATGCAAGCTTTCATGGCAAGCTCTGTCCGGGACTTAAACGAGAAGAAGGGATCACATGACCACCTATGTCAGTGGCAGGTATGTTGCTGCCAGCACCCTTGGCCCGCTGGACCGTACCATGGTGGATGGGGCTGGGCTGCCGCTGGTTAAAACCTACTGTGCATACATTATTACCATGAAGCATTTTGCCCTTTTGTTTCTGCTACGGCTGCCGCCTGCACTCTGTGCCTGAGCTGAGGACAGCTGTAATGTGGGCCTAGAACCCTTGCTTGCAGGCAGACGCTGCTGCTGTCATGCCCAGCGTTGGCTGTTCTTGTCCCTTGCTTAGTGTACAGAATCAGTTTGTTTCAAAGGGGGATTCTTGGGTGCTCCCAAGCCGTCATGATTGGGAACGTCCGCAATGGGGTTTTTTTAACCCCTAATCGTTTATCACTGTGTTATCCGCTTTAGGAGGCCTTCTGCAGTTGTGACTCTTTCCCCCATAATGGGTCCTCTCAGCTTTGGGTTGTATATGGCAAACATGATACCAATGGTGGAGTTTCCTTTAAGGTTTCGGTGGGCAGGATAGCAGGAGCTGTCGCCTATTGTTTACTATTTCTGGTTCTGCTTTGCATCTGGTTTTGGCTTTTATCGCAGGCGCTTACTGAATGGGCCAAGTTCCTATGCCGTCAGGCAGTGCGGAAAGTGTGGCGGTGGTGCTGGAGGCCTCTGGAGTCTTTTGGTGGGCAGTGCTTCATGTGCCGGGTCTTTCCACTGTGTACATTCCTGGCATGGAAAATTGATGGGCGACTTATGAGTCATCAAACGTTGGATCCGGGCAAGTGGTCTCTTCACTTGGACGTGTATTGACAACGCTCTCTGCTGTGGGACGCAACAGCTGTGGAGTTCCTGGGTCCCGTCTCCATAGGAATGTACCGAGGTTTGTGGCAAGAGCAAAGGGATCCCCCCGGTGGATGCGATGGACAGTCTGTTGGAACCATGGAGCCATTATCACCTAATTTATACCTTCTCGTGCTGCTTTCTGATCTGCTGCACAGGATAGAGACTAAGGGGATTCTGCTCTTCCTGTTGACTTGCCTTGCTGTCCTTGTTACAACAACATGGTGTGACTAGTCTCAGACGTTCCTTGGTGGCTGCCCCTGTGAGAAGATCCTCTGTACCAAGGGCTGATGTTCACCTCTACTTTACCGTTGCTGGCCTATTGGCTTAGTTAATGATAGGTTCTGGAGTCAGAGGGGAGTCTGGCTCAATGATTCCTACCATGCTGAAGACCTATCATTGTATCTCTCTCTGAAAATTATCACCCCGCTTTGCAGGATTACATTTCTTTGTGCACGGCTGTGTAGCTACATCCGCATTCCTTCTCGGTGGCTTGAATTTTGGACTTTCTTCAATGGGGCGTTGATCAAGATTTGTCTTAAGTACCATTTCTGGTCAGGTTTCTTTCCTTATATTCTTTCACTGTCCCTTGGCTCCTCTCTGCTTCATCATTCCATTATCCAAGGGGCTCGACATGTGGCTCTGCCAGTGTGACCTCCTTGAGTCATGATCCTGTTTTTTTTTTTTTTTTGGTCCTTCAGGAGCTTCCTTTTGAGAATATTGGTGATATGCCTTTGCCTACTCTTTCCCGGAAGGTAGTCTTCTTGGTTGCTGTCCCTTTGAGTGGCAGAGTTGGCAACCTTGTCCACTATACCCTCTTACCTGATTCTGTGCAGAGATGAGATGGTTCTCTGTGCTCCTCCTTCCTGCTGAAGGTTGTACCTGTTGTTACCTGAATGAGGGCCTTCCTTGTGTCTGTGCTCTTCGTACACTGTGGAGGTTGCTGTTTATCCCTTAGTTGTGGTCTGGGCGGTTCAAGTGTACCTGTCTCCCACGACGACTTTCCGGGAGCTGGGTTTTTGTGATTGCGGACGGCTCACAAAAAGGCTGGGCCTCCTTCCACCATTTTTCATTGAATCAGGGGGATGGTTGTTCAAGTTTGTGCCATGAGGGGTGGGCTCCTCCCTTCCTCGATGTGGCACACTCTACCACGGCGCTTAGTGCCTCCTAGTGTTCTGACATCAGGCATCTGCGTCTGAAATCTGCCCTGGTTGTTTGGTCATTCCTGTACCAATTTTTTACAAAGGGTGATATGTTCATATCCTCAGATGCTTGTTTTGTCCACAAGGTTTTTCAGGCCGCTGTTTGAGGTTCCCTTGTTTTCCCCTTTTGAGGGGGGGGGGGGGTTTACATGGTTTGCTTATTTTACTTCTGCTCCTTTCTCACCCCTCATTTGAGGCACTGCTTTGGAATGGACACAGCACCCACCTGTCTTTTCTTCCCTTTATCTTGTACTGCTTTGTTATTAACGGAGCTGCTTATAGCAAGGAGGGGGTTTATACCAGCTAGGACTGCCCATATGCATTTGAGTTTTTTCTGCCTAGTGTCTTACTCCTGTAGATGGACCTATAAACCCCACTGTCAAGATTAAGATGCGCTTTATCCATCAATGAACTCAGAGAAAGAGATCATAGTAAAGTGAGTAACAAAAAATCCTGTTTTTATTATATAGAGGCTTAACGGTGGGTAATATTCCATTTTCCATTCCATTTCAACGCTGTACATAAATTTAATTTGTCTTTTTTTTTTTCCCTCCACAAATAGAGCTTTCTGTGGTATTTGATCACCTCTGTGGTTTTTAGAAAAAATTAAAAAGACCAGTGATTTTTGAAGAAAAAAACAATTTAAAATAAAATTTCTTCATAAATTTAGGCCAAATTGTATTCTGCTATATATCTTTGTTAAAAAAAAATTCCAATACGTGTATATTAATTGGTTTATGTGAAAGTTATTGCGTCTACAGATGGCGGTATATATACAGGATTTAAATTTTTTTTTTAATACTAGTAATGGTGGCGATCAACGACTTGTAGCAGGACTGCAGCGGGCATTCTGACACGGGGGGAACTGACTGCCACTGACATCCCCAGTGACACTATTACAGTGATCAGTGCTAATAAAAAGCAATGACACTGGGCAGCAAGGAGTTAACATCTGGGGCGAACAAAGGGTTAACTGTGTGCAGTGTGCGTTTTACATTGTGCTGTGTCTGTTTTACTATGGAGACATGCTGCTTTGTATTTCTCTGCTGTGCAGAGAAATACAAAGCAGCATGTCCTTGCTGACAGGAGAGAGACCTGTGTTTACACATAGGTCTCTCCCCTGTCAGCTTTCCCCGACGATCAATGAGTGCCGGCCGGGGATCACCGGCCAGGTCCCGGTGATTGACATCTCTAGCCGCCAATGACGGCGCGTGCACCCCCTACCGATGGAATGCAAATCATGTATATATACGTATTTTGCCCAGTCCTGCCACTCTGTAGCAGTAATTCTACTATAGGGCATCGGCAAACGGTTAAAGTGGTTGTACAAGTTAATGTTTTTTTTGCCTTGATGCATTGCATTAAGGTAAAAAAAATACTTCCAGTTGTTGTTCTCCCCTCCATTCCCTAAATACTTATCTGACTCGTGTATCAATCCAGCACTGTGCCCGGCTGCCAGCTGCCTTCTCTCCTCTTTCCCTGCTTGCAGAAACTTGGTTGAGCGCAGTGGGAGCCATTGGCTCTCACTGCTGTCAATCACATCCTGTGAGAAGGAAGCGGGGGTGGGGCTCAGCCGCACTTTGAGTGTCCATGGGCCCACACAGTGCAGCTTGGGAGCGAGCCCACGTGTGCCACCACAGGAATCGGCTTCCTATAGTGGCACATGCAGAAGAGAAGGAGCTGAGAGCGCTGGTGGGGGACCCTAGAAGAGGAGCTTCAGGGTCACTGTGCAGAACCATTGAACAGAGCAGGTAAGTGTAACATGTTTATTATATTAATTGGAGAACAAAAAAAAAGCCTTTAGGGGTGCTTTAATGTCTGAATAGAGTCTTACCATTGAGGTTTGGTGGCTCTCATGGAGAACCATGAAAGTACATGTCTGGGCTTTAAAAAAAAAAAAAAAAATTCTGTTGACCATGCAAGCAATCCAGTAAATTCCTAACTTCGTGTATTGAGCTGACGATACCTAAGCTGCCATTGCTGCAATGAAATTTCAAGCAGTGCTGTCAGCTCTGTCTAGTTCTCCCCTGCTGGACTACAGTACAGCTCTCCTCTTCTCATATCTCTGTCATTGGAAGAATGTTCTATAGTGGAGCAGGGGAGTCCTGGACAGGGATTGTAACACTGCTTTTAGGTTTTACAGTTGCTTCGCAGTACCAGAATTCACCAGTGGGTGGCACTATGGGTGAAATCCAATATTATAGCTCTAGGTCTTGTAGCTATGGGAACACATAAGCATAAGTGTGTCCCTTTTTCATTCATTTCAATTTTTTTTATAAACACCAAAAACTTTTGTTTAAACAATTGTTTAGTTTATTCTTTTTGATTTTCTCAATTAGTTTTGGACAATACAACTGCGAGAAAGCAAGTCGCTGGCCGAGGTCTGTCACGAACTCCAACAGCAGAGATAGAGCGCAGTCTCTGTGGTACCACACAATCACCTGTATCTAAGGTAAAGGGAAAATGATTGACTGATAAATCAGTAATAATGGGTCTGTGCTGTGAGTTTCACAATCACGTTTTCTTTCAAACTAAGCCTAAATATGCAGTGTCATGTCTATAAACACAGCAAGATAGCTTTGCACTAAATTAGGCTTTAACAGGGCAAGACTGATATTTACACGACAGGAAGTATTTAACCTTACACTGCTGCCTACAGGGCACTTGGATGCTGGAAAACAAAACAAGATGTAGGTCAGCCTAGGATAACCCCTCTGTCTAGGTGTGCCTCAGTTTTTTGCTGGTGCCCCAGGGGGATTGGCATCATTTCTGCAGTCCTGCTGTGTTAAGACTAACTAGCTTTTTTTTTTTTTTTTTTTTTTTTTTTTTCTTTCTTCTTCAACCAAGACTCTTCTCAACATCAAAGCTAGAGTTTCTTCTCTCTGATTGCAGATTTTCAGCATGGTCATCCTCATCCTGGCTTTTGGAGTACTGTGTCCAGACCCTGCTGAACAAGACATGTGGAGATAGCCTGAAAGTGACTTTTGAGTACTTGGTTCTGCGTATGGCACTTTCTAGACTCCAATTCGGTAAAAGTTAGCTCTGCAGCACTTTGTAGGTCCAGAGCTATTGGCAGCACTTTCTAGGTCCAGAACTCTTGGCAGCACTTTCTAGGTCCAGAACTCTATCTTCCTGTATGTTAAAAAACGCCCCTTTTTGTTTCTCCACTCCCTTTATCCCCTCATTAAGTTTCCCCCCAAGCTTGGCTCCTGGTCTGCCTGTAAGGCCTTGTAATCAGTCTGCCAAATCTTCAAATAAACCTTTCTCTTCACCTTCCAGAATTGGTGGATGTTTGTGACCTCTGCAAAGGCTTGGACAGCATGCGTGTGAAACTCTTGGGTGTAAAAGGTGATATTCCAGAACTGCAATTAGAGTTTTGCTCCCTGCCTCCTCACATTTTAACACTTACAACCTTCCTGTGTTCCTTTGACTGCACAGATTAGCAGATCCCTGTCAAGCTCTCGCAGGTCTTCAGGATTAGGGTGTCATTGCACCAGTTCTGGTGGCAGAATGGTGCCAGGGGTATCCTCACTGCTCCAGATTGGCCCAGGAAGATGTGTTAATGCTGATCTGGTAAGACCCCTGACAAATGATGCATGGGTTCTACCAGATCCTCCAGGATTCTCTGTACAAAGAACTAATTTCCTATCTTGCTTCATGCTCGCTAGCTTTGTTGGCATGACTGTTAAAGCCCAGGTTCTGAGGGCTAGGACTATCTCTGAGTCTGTGATTCCTACAATGCTAGTCTCAGATTCAAACTCTCCACTTCTGAAGTCTCTGGTAGTCTCTTTTAAAGCAATGCTGTTTGCCTGGTATACTCCAGACCTCTACAATACGGCATTCTGTCATCATGGGTCAATCTCTCTGGTCTCTGGACAGACTGATTCGCTGTTGCCAGGCTGTCTATGGCCTGGTAGCTCTTTCCTTAACATCATTTGGAGAATGCTCGAGATAGACACCAGTATTTTGGGCTGGGGAGGAGTCCTGGGCACCCTGTTGGTATAGGTGACTTGGCTGTTGGCAGAGTCTCGGCTCCCAGTGAGCATCCTACAATTTCAGGGTATTTGGCTATATCTGCAGCATTAGACCATTAGACTACTGGAGGGTCATCCCATGCCTTGATTAATTTGGGCAATGCCTTGATTGTACCTCAATCAGGGTTGAACCAGAAGTCTCACTGAAACAAGAGGTAGATTGGGTCCTGTCCTGGGCAGCACTTGTATGTTCCAAGACAGTTGGCAGACCACCTCATCTGGCATAGCCTTGACCCAGGAGAGTGGTTTTTGCACCCGGAGGTTTTCCAGGACCTTTTTGCAGGTTTGGCAAGCTGGATGTGGGCCTCCTTGTCTCCAGATTCAGCAAACTGAACAAGTTAGTTTCCAGGTATAGGAATGCTCTAACGGAAACAATGGATGATCTTGTGGCTCAATTGGATCAGTACACCTTAATTGATGCCTCTCATACCTGAAACATCTTTCTTGTCTGCTTCGCAGGATCTAGATGGAGGATATTCCTATGATCCTCGTTAGTCTGGCCCAGATAGATGTGGTGGTGCACTGCATGGGTGCTAACGGATACTTAAGATCTTATGTTCCATGGACCAGTTTACCATGCTGCTTAACGGTCACTAGAATTGCATAGAGGCATCTCTTCGTCTGTTATTCCGACTAGGAAGTCTGTTTACACTGATTATTTTTGGATATGGAAGGGTTACTCCACTTGGTGTGAGTGTCTGGGCTTCCATCCCAGGATTTTTCTCTGTGGGAGGTTTCCTTCTTGCAGCTGGATCTGGAGCAGTGTCTGGTTTTCAGCACTATCAGGTTTTATTGCTCTTTTTATTCTTTTTCAGAGACCATTGACCTCTCACTTTAAGAGTAAGACTTTTGTACAAAAGGTCTGTGAATCCGTAGGACATAAACTTGGTACTGTGTGCTACAGAAATCTATGATTTGGACCTATAATTGACATTCCTCTCTCTATTCTGAACCACAAGATATTTCTTTTGTGTCTGAGCTGGTGTCCTTCTCCTCCAAGGCATCTTTTTTGGCTCTGCATAGGGACAAGGTGGTGGTAAGGCCCATTACCCTCGGTTTGAATGGATGTGTTTTGGACTGTGCGAGGCAGCTGCTGCTGCCTTTAGGAAGATGGATTCTCATTTTTTAATACCAAATGATCCCTTTAAGGGTGCACTACTTCTTATTCCACCGTCTACTAGGTTTGTGATTACATCTTGGGCTTCTCTGCATAAAGTATGTTTCCCAGACTTGCAAGGCTGTCACATGGTTTTCTCTTCTCACGTTCTGTCATGTGATTGTTGCAGCCACATTTAATGCCAGTTTTTGGTTTATGTTCCTTCAGGCGGCTCTCTGAGCTGTAGGCTTTTCCCAGTTTTCTGTTGTTTTCTTGAGCCTGTTATCATTTGTGTCCCTTAATGGAGGCAAGAAAGAAAATAGGATTTTTGTACTCACCGTAAAAAAAAAATATTTTCTCAAAGTCCATTGAAGGGCACACATCTCCATTTCCCTCCCTCACCTTTTCGCCATGTTTGATCATGCTCTCGGCATTCAGAAGTAGCTTTGTTGTGCAAGTGCTACAGTGTGACTACGTAATATAATTCAATCAGGCAAAGAAAAACAAAACATGGGGTCCACACAATTAGTAGAAGGTCTTTAGTTATCAATATAAAGTATTCCAACTGATCTAGCATTGCAACTCAGCAGAGAGAAGTGCTGTTTCACTGTAAGTCCTCAAGCACACTGGACGTTTTTACAGCTGCGGTTTTTGGCTTTTGATGTTTTTTTTTTTCTACAGCCAGTAAACTCCCCAGCATGCTATCCTATGTGTTCATGCACACATAGACTGTAATCAGTGTTTTCTGGCTGGAAAAAAAAAAACCCCAGAATTAGTGGGTTTCTAGAGTTTTTTTTAGCTGTAAAAATGCTCTAACGTTGAAAAACGCTGTAAATCGTGGCAAACCTGCATTTTTGGACTTTTTGAGCAAAAAAAAAAAATTTTTTTTCTTTTGGTGAAAAAAACCCCACTACAAAATGCGGCTAAACGCTAATGCAAACATGCCTTTACACAGTTAATGCTACCAGCATTATTAAAACGCCCAGTGTGCATGGAGCCTAATATTGCAGTGCACAGCATTCCAAACTCCAGGTTGTCCTATGGGCATAGTTTATACCATTACAGCACAATACAGTGTATAAAAGTACAGCAAGCTGCATATTTTTGCACACTGCAAACACACCCAAGCACACACGCAAATGCACATAAACACACTGAAAATGCAGCGCACATAAAAGCCCAAAGAAGAAGGAAGTGACCTCCGAGGAGATGCAAGAAGGCAAACCTCTAAATATTCTTAAAAATAATGTACCACAAACGGATGAAAACGCTGGGTTGCTGGTGTGAATGGGCCCTTATGGGCTTTGCCATCCTTTGAAACATAGTTGTGCATTGACTTTCATTGAGGTGCCTTTTAACCCACATGTATATGCGCATTTTAACATGCATTTTTATTGTTATGTGCTTGCAGGTTATTTCCCCTGATATCACTTCCTTTATCTGTTTGTTGGTTGAGAGGAGTGAGAGAGGAGAAAAATAGAGAGACATGAACACATTTTTGCTTTTCAAGAGGCATTCACAAATGGGATGTCTACCGTAAGAGCCCTAATTATTGTGATTGCGCTAGCTATATTGTGGAGGAGACAGCAGATGAGGTTTGAAGATTTGTGTGCATATAAGGGCCCCTTCACAATAGTCTTTACAATCCTTGTGCTGCTGGTCATACAGTATAGAACCTGGTGTGTCCGCGTATGGTGTTTAAACTCAGCTATTTCTATAAACCCTGCCAAGCACACTTTCTACTTCTCTTCTAAGATGGCTGCCAAATGGGTCCTTTCAAGGGGGGGGGTGTTGACCATGATGGCAGCGTGTCCTGCTCCTCGCTCCATAGGAGGTTCTGACAGGAGAACGCCAATCTACAGGTCCCCCAATACCCCATGCCGAAAAGGGGGATAACGGGAGCTTCCTGTGCTCTACATCACCCGCAGTAGCTGACGAGTCTCTAAAAGGTCGGTAGCTCGGGGATGAGTGTGGAGTCTGGAAGGTTTCCTGCACGGCCGGGTCCTTCGGAGCCCTCTTGCTGGGAGATTGCCCTGAGATGCCTTTGATTTGCAGGGAGCCAGCGGCAGCTGCTCGTCGTTTAGCTCCCCTGAGGGAGATGCGGAGGGACACACCACATGAGTGCCTGCCTGGCAGACTCTCAGCAACGGCCAGGACTGGAGCTGGGTTCTGTTGAGCAGGTGAGGTTCAGAAGGGTGAGCTCCCTAGAGGATGAGTTAGCAGCGGGAAGGACCGTGGAAGACCTACCTTTCCCCGTCGAAATGGCAGGTCTATTGCCTGAATTAACTCCAGTCCTTGGTCAGTTTGGACAGTCACACAAGGATGCGCAAAAGCAGCCCCAAGTAAATAAGACTATTTCAGAGGACATAGATACTAGCTTCTACAGGCTTTACCAACTAAGGCAGACATTCAGCAAATGATCAGACATTTTACTGATGCCTTGAAAGAGGAGATTGAAGCTGTTAAAGGCACAGTAACCATGATGGAATAGAGGATGCAGACTTTGGAAAGTCAATATACTGATTCTACTATGCGCTTGGGAAGGGTAGAAGACAGTCTGGGTAAATATTAAAATTACCTAATCTTACAATTGCAGATGGAAGATGCGGAGAATCGGAGTCGACGTAACAACATAAAGATACGAGGCCTTATGGAAACTATTGGAGGAGCGGAGCTTTGCCAGACTGTAAGTGAAATCTTTAATTAACTACTTGAAAATATATCTGAGTCTGCAAACGTTGGCTTGAGTCCACAGAGTCCCTACTGTCCAAAATTCATCGCAAGTGGAACCAAGAGATGTTATTTGTAGAGTGCATTTTTTCATGGCAAAAGAAGCTATACTTAGAGCTGCATGGAGACAGGAGCCATTGGACTTTAAGGTGGTTGCAATTCCAACTGTTACTGGACCTCTGCAAACATACTTTACACTGCAGACGCATATTAAAGCCCCTACTGGAGTGTATCAGAATGCAGGGTGCAACCTACTGCTGGGGGTATCCTTTAGAGGTGATTATCATACGTGACAACCGTAGTTTTACCCTGCGGAATCCAGCTCCGCTCCCCCAGGCCTTCCAGTTTTTGAACTGCGATGCTATTGAGATCCTGGATTGGCTAACCCTGCAGGAGACCGTTGTTACCAGTAGATTATGATTGGGAACATTATAGGAACAGAGACTATAGCCCATCGGGAAGAAAACATAACTTTAAGCTTTAAATGGACATAAAATATAATAGTGGTGTAGCGCTGATAACTAAATGTGCAAACTCCACAATAATAAGATAAAAAACATAAATGAATATAAATATATAAGTGATAGATCTTTCAAGATCTAGGAAAACAGTGTCTCAGACTGTGATATTATCAGTACACAAAGTGCATATGATGAAGCTGGTCCTATGCCCGCACCTTCATTCAGTGACAATACCCAGTCCCACTTGGGACCAAACCCCAAAAGACTAGGTGCTATATACAGTGGATCCCAAAATAAGGGATATGATCACAAACAAAGTGAATGATATATAAAGTGTACCCCAAAATTGTGATATAAACCAAATAAAGTGATTAGTGAATAATGTTAAACACAATATATAAACATAAACTTCATAAACGCATAAAACGATAAAAAGTGTCCAACAAATTGCCAAGAATAGCAAAGATGGCAATTACTGCCAAAATGTGCCTATATCTTCAAACCACGTGCTATAGTGCTGGTGCAGATGGTGAGCATATATCCTTAGATGGCAGGCATGTCCCCTCACCTCCTTGCTGCGACCCAAAAGGGTCAACACGCCTTTTGGATCAATTTGGATCCTACAGGTACCAACTCACCAGGCCGCTCTGATTCCACTGAACCTCACTGGTAACTTCCTTCCAATATAAATCACTTTTCCATTCAGGGATAAACGCAGTGCAGGCCAATAAATGAGTATCACATTACAGCCATAAAAGGACAAAAAAACAAGTCTCCCATAGTGCAACACTATTTAATATGTTAAAAGCATGTTAAATCGCCAAATATTGCACTCACATTAACGCAGATCAAACAAGGCTTGTCACACCACTCAGTATGGGGTGTACTGTGTAAACCTGGTGTAGCAAGATAGCGCTCTGCCAGAAGTGCGTCACCACATCGCATCTACACGTGTCCAGGATGCTATCCTGAGGAAGTCACGTGTACGTGACGCAATGCATAGATGCGATGTGGCGACGCACTTCCGGCGGTCCAATTACTCTGTTTGACCACGCTCCGACCTCATGCCTTCTTGATTTGGTTGAAAATCCACATTGGGATTGGTACTGGAGGCTGAATGAGACCTGCTTGCAAGTTCTGATATATAAAAGTCAAATAGCACAAGATATATCTTTTTTGAAAATTACACTACAGATGTCAGTCCTTTATGCCTCTGGGAGGCACATAAATGTGTTATTCAAAGCACTCTCATTAAGCTGGGGTCCAAACGCAAGAAACTATTGAATTCTCAAATAGACTCCTTATTAGAAATTAGAGGATTAGAAAGGACACATAAGAAATCCCTGGTGAAAAATATAGGACATCAACTGCGTGTATTAAGAGAGGAATTAAATTCTATCCTTAGCGATAAAGCCAAGGTGAAACTTGCCAGGCGTCGTAGAGAATTCAATGAATACGGGAATAAGGCTAGAAAGTTGCTAGCAAATGCTTTGAGATCTGAAAAAAAAAACCCAAGAAATTTTATTCCACATATAAAAACAGGTGATACCTTGATGATATCGTCAAAGGAAATAGCACAAGTATTCAGGGAGTATTATGAGGCCTTGTATGACCTAGGTACATACGGTTTAACTTTGAAGCAGAAAGATCAATATTTAGCAGTGTGGCAATATATTCAGGACTCAGGAATGCCAACACTTTCAAAAACGGTCATCGAGGGTTTATTTTTTTAATTTTTCCAATACGAAAAATCAACATTCTATCATATTTATAAAAAAATACAGACATTCCACAGAAGTTCTCTCTCCCCATCCCCCCCACCCGTCCAAGTAGTTCTTTCCATCTCTTTCCTTCCGTTTTTACCTATCTATGTCTAAATCCCTATTTTCCATCTTTATTTTTCCAATCTTTGATTTCTCTCTTTCCGCTCTTTATTCTCCTCTTCTTTCTTTTAATCTTCATATACGGCCCTTTAGTTATTCAGTTTGACTCTCCAGCCTTACTACCAGAACTCCCACCATTTCCAGATATTTTTCACATATCCTAAAGTCATACCACCTACTTCATTCCTTTCTAAATGTTTCCATTTTATCTTAGTCTGTGTGATATATCTCCTCCATATTGTTTATATACTTGATCCTCTCTATCTAGTCCTTCATTGATGAGGGCTCCTGTACCTGACGAAATTTGGGGATAAGACCTTTTGCCGCGCTAATTAGGTGATATAGTATACTATTTTTATATTGTTTCACTGACATCTCTGACCTATAAAATAAACACACCCATGGGTCCTTCTGAACAGTAATCCCCAGAATCTCCTTTATGTATTGATTTATATCTTGCCAAAATACCTGTATTTTTGGACATTCTCACCATATATGTGCCATTCTGCCCTTAAACCCACAGCCCCTCCAACATAGTGGTGAAACTTCTACTCGTTGTTTGTGCCACACTCAGTGCAAAGTACCCTCTAGTTAAACATTTATAATTCATTTCGACTGTGTTCATCACCTTGTGTATTAACGTAAACATTTTATTTTTCTGTTGCTCACTCATTTTTGTTCCCAATTCTCTTTAGCATTTCTCTAAGAATAACGGAGGCTCAGGTCCCCTCAATTCAATAAGGATCTTGTATATCCTAGAGGTGACATGTTTTTGTGCTATGTTAGAGGTCAACATTTTTTAAATGGAAGCATATCCTCTGGCATCTTCAGTGGTTGAGGGAGCGTTGAGACAAAATGTCCTAATTGATAGTATCTCAATTCGTCTAATGTACAAAATCTTTTTTACTCTTCAAATCTTGGAAAGTGCACAACCTCCCCCCATCTACTATGTCCCCGAAACGTGCATCTCTATCTTTAAACCACTTCTCAGAAATATTATCTTTTCCTTAGACCCTCCTGACCACACCGCAATGTCCACATTCTGCAGCCAAGGATATCTGACGGGGGAGAATCACCTTCATTTTATTTTTCATGGAACGTTCCAACTTTGCAAACATTTCTGCCATCTCTGTTTTTGTAGAGATTTGTGATATAGCTCCCTGTTGTTCCATGACATTTTGATCTATTATTCTGTCCACTTTTATAGATTCATTCGTTTGATTTTCATCCCGTATTCCAACTGACAGTCTAGACTGCTCCTCATCGTATTTTCTACTCCCTTCCTGTTGTTTCTCGGGGCATTGTATCTCTGGACTTTTTTCCTGCAGTGGCATACATTTCTTTATTGTGCTGATTCTTGTGTTCGATTGTGGGGTTTTTGCACCTCCACCTTTAACGGATCTACTCTTCATATTGATTGAGCTTCCCAACTAGTTTTCTATTCACTGCTCAAATACCATATTGTCGCACCTAGGTAAGGCCCCTCCTCCTTGCTCTTCTCTGTAACTTTTACAGTCCCAGATGGCTTTAAATACATATGCAATATTAGCACACTCACTTAACTCTGAGATAACCTAGCACCTTGATCTTCTGACCAGCCAGCCCCACTGCTCAGGTATACATTTGCTTATGACAGAAACAATACCGGCATTTACATCCTGCTATTGCCCATGGCTACTCACCATCACCTCCCGGACCTGGGTTGCTGAATACCTCCCATTTCTGTGTGCTCTTCTGTCTTTATCAGATTCTCATGACCCGGTTTGCAGGGTCACCTGGGAGGAATCTGGGCAGATGCTCGAAATGTGGTGTGCCTGCAGGTGGCTCAGAGTCTCAGGCTCTCCCAGGTATGCCACATACAAACAGTCCCTCCTGGGATCCCTCCATGCTCCGTCCTCTCAAATCTTTCCACCTTCCTCCTCACTCAACGTTCCCCTGCACTTCACAGGGTGCCTCTTTCAGCAGTTAACGATCCCTTCAGGTGCTCCAAGCGCAGCCCTGATCCTTCCACAGCAGCACACTTCAGATAGGGAGTACCAACGCCACTCGACCTCCACAAATGCAGGGGGCACACAGCCCTGGCCGGCAGGACCAGGTGCGATCCAAGGGCTGGTCTCAGAGCCAACGCCGCGGGCGCACCCCACAGCTCCTCAGGTAAGTTCTAGGAGTTTGTGCAGTGCAGACACTGTGGGCACGCCTTACAGCCCCGGACGGCGGGATCAGATGGGATCTGATAGAGGGTGCAGAGTGGTCTATTACCATGCAGCATCCATATGGCGGGTGTTTGGAGCTCCTGCACTTAGCAGACTTGCAGTGCCATGTTCAGGCCTCTCCCCCCTCCTGTCGAGGGTTTAAATGTGCCAATTTCTTTGGAAGATTGTAAATCTTTTTCCTATCTTCATCAAGAATTCCTCAGGACTAGATGGTTATACCTAGCAGACGAGGGAATGTTCATTTGGATCTCGCTGAAGGCAGAGTTGCACAAGTAGTCCATTCTTTTAAATTTTTTAAGTAAATTATACAAAATCCGAAGCAATGGGGGTGAGCATAGATATGACCGCAAAATTGCACATTTGCTCCCAATTTAATTTTAAATGGACAGACTCCCACATTCAGTATCTTGGTACAAACATTTCAAGTAACCTATGTAAAATCTTTGAATTTTATCCCATTGCTATGTAAATTTAAATTAGATCTTCAGAGGTGGGATAAGGAGTCATTTAATTGGTTTAATCGTAATAATATCATTAAAATGAACATGATACCTAAACTCTTTTACTTATTATAATCCTTACCAATTAAATTGTCTCAAGTTTTCTTAACCGCTTATGCCACTCTATAGCAGAAATACTGCTACAAGGCGGCACGTTTGTACAAAATCACATATACGTGAATTTGCAGTTCTGGGTAGGTGGCGCGCACGTGCCCTACCCATGCCATCATTAGCGGCCTCGACTGTCAATCACCGGGTTCTGGCCATTGATTCCCCACCGGCACCCAGTGATCTCCGAGGATATCCGATGGGGGAGAGACCTGTTTGGTAATCAATACAGATCTCTCCCTTGTCAGCTCCTGCACACTACTTTGTATGGCTCTGCATAGCAGAGCCATACAAAGCAGTGCGCTTGCAGTGAAACACAGCCTCATAGTAAAACAGCATATAGTTAATCCTTTGATTGCCCTACATGTTGACCCCTTCCTGCCCAGTGCCATTAATTGCTTTTTATTGGCACTGATCACTGTATTGGTGTCACTGGGGATGTCAGTGACACCAAGTCAGTTCCCCCCAGTGTCAGAATGCCCACCGCAGCCCCGCTATAAGTCATTGATCGCCACCATTACTAGTGAAAAAAAAATTCCAGTATATATACCTCCATTTGTAAATGCTATAACTTTCACGTAAACCAATTAATTTACATGAATTGGAGTTTTTTTTTTTTTTTTTTTTTTTTTTTTAGCAAAGACATGTAGCAGAATACATTTTGGCCTAAATTTATGACTAAATTTGATTTATAAAATTGTTTTACTGGACATGTTTAATAGCAAAAAGTCAAAAATATAGGTTTTTTTTTTTTTTTTTTCAAAATTGTCGGTCTTTTTTTGTTTATAGCGCAAAAAATTAAAACCTGCAGAGGCGATCAAATACCACTGAAAAAAAGCTCAATTTGTGGGGGAAAAAGGACATAAATTTAATTTGGGTGCAGTGTTGCATGACCGCGCAATTGAAGTAACGCAGCGTCGTACTGCAAAAAAATGACCTGTTCAGGAAGGGGGGTAAATCCTCTGGAGGGCAAGTGGTTAAAGGATCTATAAGCAAGATTTTTGAAGTTTATATGGGCAGGTAAACAAGCAAGGTTAAGGAGATCTATTTTGGCTCTCCCCAAGTCAAAATGGGGAATCTGCTTTCCAGATCCTATGAAATATCATGAGGCAATTCATCTAGATAGAGTATTAGATTGGTGCTCTAAACGGGAGAAAAAACAACGGGTAGACTTGGAATAAGCGGTAGTGGGTAGTCCTTTGGCAGGACTTTCCTGGTGTTAGGAAAGGATACTCTGTTGTGATCTGTTTCTATTTGATAAGGGCTATATAAGCAGAGGACAACTGTAGGGAAGACAAAATTAAGGGAGGGCAGACACTGTATTCCCCATGTACGTATTTGCTCAATAAATATAATTCAGAGTCTTATCTCGTCAAAGGTAATTATTCAAGTTTCCTTTTAAAATAGAGGAACTTGGCAGGAGGTAATATCCTCCCTACACACTCCAAATACTGTAGTTACTGACTTTTAATATAAGGACACTTACCTGTCCAGGGATCCAGCACTGTCCTCACCCGAGCTGATTCTTCAGTGGGCTTCTGGTCCAGGCTTTGGCATCTTAACTAAGGGAAAGTTGCAGTGAAGCCTTGCTGCTTGACTGCTGGTTTCCCACTGTCTATGCGTCCCCCAGAAGTGGGGGTGGACACCCCCCATCCCCCCCCCCCCAGTGTTGCTACAAAGGAGGAGGGATGATGCAGACAAATGTAACTTTCCCTTTGAGAAAAAAGCAGGAGCCAATTCACCTTATTTCCGTATTGTTACTAGAGTAGCACAATCTTTTTAATAATTTCGTTTAAGTATGTGTAGTGTTTGCTGTTGATTTCTTACCTTACAATACTGTGTAGATGCTTGAACTGAGTTGTAAACTACTTTGCCACTCAAGTTCATCTTTGGAGTTCTTGCACATGATGATGGTTATTGGATAAGATGAAACTGGAATATTAAAGCCTCTGTGACCAAAGCCCCCTATGGGCATGGCAAAATGCATCAGGGGGTGTGGTTGGATCGACAGAGTGGCTGGATCGACAGCTGAGGCCATTGGTATCACAGCATTCTCACAGGACTTCTTGGGATGAGTTTGAGCAGCGTTTATCCTCCCTCTTTGCACACTGCCTGGTTCCTGGAATAACTCGGGACTTCCATCCCCCCTTTCCTTGCCAGCGGAATGATTACATTTTGTCCAACCTCGAGCAGTGCCAAAACTTTGCTACATGGAATATTAAATTACTTCGTGCTTACGTTATTCTCTTTCCAGAGTCTTTTAAGATAATACCATGGGTAAACCTTTCCCAGAATACATATTTTTAAGCTTTATATTGTACCTTAAGCTTGATCACTAGAACATACTGAGGAGATTTGGCTATATGGAACTTACTGTCTCACTAGCTGGTGGCATTACCTCTCAGGTTATAATTGTCAATATATGTATGGGTAAGGCCAGCCTTTGGAAAATAATAATTTGCACCCACATGAGAGTAACTTGAGATACAAAGAGAGAATAAGTCTGCTGCATATCAAATACTTTGTGTATACCTACAGGTCACTCAAGTAAGGGACCAAAGCAGGGATACCGAAGATGAACTGTACAGTGCAGAGAACTTTCGGCGGCTTGCACGGAGCCTCAGCGGAACAGTCATCTCTGGCAGAGAAGAGACTATGGTCTCTTCTCACAGTTTTGTAAGTACCATAGTATGTTTTTTTTCATAAAGTGTTTGTGAGCATTTTGGCTTAAGTCCGTGTCTCAGTGTTACAAAAAGCGTTTTTTTTTTTTTTTTTTTTTTCCCCCTACGAGAAGAAATCAAATCATCTTCCTGCGTTTTCGTACAGAGTTGCTGACTCTAGTGGGAGGGACAGCTAAAATCATGATATTTGCCACCTGTATTTTTCCTATGTCAGCCAAATTACATGTGGTGTTCTGAACTATGCAAATGTTTTTGCAAAAGTCAAAGCAGGATTTCTTTTTATTCCAACGCTCTGAAAATACAAGTTAAAAATAGTGCATGCATGCACTCTTGCAAAACTATGCTGCATATTTATAAAGCAGTGAATGTAATTTTCACTAAACATTCACCAGTCAAGTTGAATAGCATGCACCTGAAAGGTTCACCTGCAGTGAATGTTTAGTGAATTTTTAATTTACTGCTTTTAAATTTACTGCCATATGTGTCTAGAAGTTTTCCAGAAGGTCTTCCCGGCTGCTATGTCCTGTGTTCTTCCTTCTCATTTGTCGACAGCAGTATTTTTTTTAAAAAAAAAGAAAAGGTGGCTGATCAAAAAGCAGGACTGAGGAACAATTGAAGGACAGAACAACATTATTACATACTCATTTCCTGGCAAAGAATAAAAAGAGAGTTCCTACAGAGAACTGAGTGCATCAATTTCCTCACATGGAAGCACTGCATTTATCAGCTTCCTCTAATGCTGAAAAACAGACTCTAACAGATGGCATAGAGATAATGCAACAGGGAACACAGATTTGCAAGTATGCATGCTTGCACAATTTCAGAGTATTTGCTTAAAAATAAAATTACTATAGTTCTACTTTAAGATTTAATTTCCCCCATCTGTTTGTAGGTTAAATATTTGCTATATTTCTGAAGTGGAGATACTTGTGTGCAAATAAAAAAAAAAATCTGTGCAAACTGCATTTCTTTATCCTTCACTGGGGAATACAGGTTTAATTCTGATCCAAAAAAAAGATTATTCCACTGTCTACAGGAGACTGGACACTAGCAAGCAAAGCTGTTAGCCATATACAACCCCTCCTGCTTCCATCAAGCTCTATTTTTTTTTTATAGCATCTGTTAGTAGAATAGATATCTTCTCACTCTGAGAGTAGCAAAACCCTTTCTACAACATGTTATATGTCTATCAAGATTCTCTTGTTTTGTAGTCAAGATCCTTTACTACAGCGCCAAAGAGCTCATTGATGCAGTTGTCTGGATTGGCAGATCCTTATAGCCTTGGAAGGCTGTACCCAGACCCCAACATGCTGAAAATGCAGGGCACAAAGGCACTCCGCTCTAGTGTGGGCACTCTTCAAGACACCTGGTCCTCTGTATGAGTCAGGCACAGTGCACTTTGTCCCATAGACAGTGACTTTATGGACAAAGACTGCCTGGATTCTGCCCAACACTTTCTAGCACGTCTGCATTGTGGGAGGAGAGCTTGGTACTGCTGCTCCAGTTGTGCTCCCACAAGGGTTAACACCAGAGCTCTGTTCAAGATACTGTAGTGGTTGCAGGCTGTCTGCATCAGGGCCCTGCACCATTTTTTTAATTTGGTTCCCGGTGCCCTCTCTTTTGACTGTCGACCATTGTGAAATTGGCACTCAGCGCCTGCTCTTTTAGGGGCCCCCTTTTGTCACCATGCTGTGCATGCATGCACCGCTTCATACTTGCATTCACATGCCTTTTCCTCCATCCCACCCTCTCTTAAGCCTTATCCCAATTTATGCAAATCAGTCAATAGGCTCCCTGCTGCCTTACAGTAAAGAAGGTACAGATGGCTTTCCCTGCTCCTGCAGTTGTTCGATGAGTACCTCTGCACTTGGCAGTGTGACAGATCATTAGTGCTTACGGAGCAGTTCTGTGGGTTCTCCCAGGTCCTGATCTGCTATCAGCTCTCGAGCAGCTTGCAGCATCCCTGCCAAAGGGCATGACAAGGACAGCCTGGACAGTTGTCCCCTGCTAGAGACACTCCTTGGTGTCAACCATGTGATATTTTATGGCAGAAATCTCCCCCATGATAGCTGACTTGGAATGCAGTGAACACAAGCATGCTTTTCTTTCAAAGTCGTACTCTGATTTTGCCTGCAGCTGTGTCTGTGTCCTCGGCAGTGCATACTTGCCTAGAGCTGGAGCAAATTGCTTGTGAATTTAGTAAGATTACCAGTCTGGGCTCCCTCAAAAGTCTCCAACCTGTCAAGTCTCCCAATGCACTAAAATGGTTTTTGCATAGTGACTTATATGGAACAAAATATTTTAAAAAATGAAAAAAAAAGCAAAATAAATGATAATAACAATAATAGTAATATAGGGCAGCAGAATACGTGTTATTCACAAACATATATTAAACATAGAGAAAATGTGCTTTTTACAATTGAATTAACAGCTAATGAACATAAATCATAATTGTTCAACATAAAGTGAATAAAATAGTGATAGTCCAATATGCAAAGTTGTGATGTGTGCTACGAGTAACACTCCTCGACCAACATGAACTGAAAAAGCCTCTTACCAAACACTGAGACCTCTTATAGGAGGTCAGAAAAAACTTCCCTGTCACAATGGGACAAATCTGTGGCAAACAAGGTCCTTATTGAGAGAGCCTCCTCCACTCCTCACATCAGATCCACAGCATTCACAATACACATATTAAAAGAAAGAGAACCACAGCGTGTAGTACTGCAAAACTTTTTTAATTCATGAATTTAGAATGACACTCACAAAAGAAAAGATGAACCAGCATAAAACCAGAGAATTATATCGCTCGGAGCACATTATTATTATTATACAGTATTTATATAGCGCCAAAAGGTTTGCTCAGCGCTGTACATTATAGTGGGGGACAGAACATGAGACAATACAGTAACAAAACAATCCACGAGGGGTTTGAGGGCTCTGCTCTTTCGAGCTTACAATCTAGGAATCTAGCACATCCGTAATGAAGTCGGGGGAGATATCCTGCTGCTTTGGAAGGTTCTCGTGATGGATGTCAGCTTGACAGGCTGTGGAGGAGTTCTGGACACCTTATCACTTATCAGTGCAAGGTAATTGATCACACCAGAGGAAGCTCATATCATTCAAGAAATACAAGCGATTTGGTTATCCTTTCAACGTCTGGACATCACAGCTGTGACTTATGTCAACCATCTGGGGGAAACCAGAAATCACACAGATCAAAGAGAAGCCAACTGAATTCCCACTTGGGTGGAACATTGTTTCAGCCCTGTTCGCTATGCAGATTCCAAGTGTGGAAAATTGGCATCCTTCCTCAGTTGACAATGTCTGGGCTTAGGAGAATGGTCTCCTTACCTGAAGAGATTTCAAGATCTTTTTTTTTGGGTGGGGCACGCTGGATGTGGACCAAATGGCTTTCATGTTTCACAACAAACTGAGCAAGTTTGCCTTCTGGGCCAGGTTCCTCTAGCTATAGAAGTGGATGCTTTGGTGAGTTCACCTGATCTATGCCTTTCATCCTCTGAAACTACTTCCTCTTTTGCTGTGCAGGTTCGAGATGGAAGGCATGCTGAAGATAATTATCTCTCCAAACTGGCACAGGTGAATGTGGTACAGACCTCGGCAGACTTCCTGTGGGCTCTCCCGGGTAGCCTGATTCTTTTTTTCCAAGGACCAGTTTACCACCCTGCTTCTCAGTCACTGGCCTGGCTTTGTAGCTTTTTTATTATGATGCTTCTCAAAGCTCAGAAATCAACTTATCACAAATTCTACAATCATACCTGGAAAGCATATACGGTTGTGTTAACAATGTTTGTGTCAACAATGGCACTTTGCGGGGGCTTCTTGCTGATAGCTTAGCTTCACATAGGCTTCTTTCAATTGTTACAGTACTCACACATAACTTTAGACCTTCTTTGGTCACCCTGGAGCTGATCATTGGCTTAGTTTTTGCCATTTTGGCTATTCTTCGAACCATTCAAATGGTAGTTTTCTGTTTTCTTCCACAGTTTTCTGCTTTTGGTTGCCATTTTAAAGCATTTGAGATCATTTTAGCTGAACAGCTTATCCATTTCTGATTTCATGTTTTCCTCTCTCCAGTCAACTGTTTAATCAATGTACGCTGTTCTTCTGAACAGTGTCTGGAATGACTCTTTTTCAGAGAGAAATGCACTATCCCCAGCATATATAACATTTGCTGCCTTCATCCCTAAATAAGGGACACTTGTTTGACACCTTTTTTTCCCCCACAAATTGAATGACCTCACTAATTGAACTCCACACTGCTATTATTTTGAACACGTACCTTTCAATTATTCAATTACACAGAATCCACAACATGCATGTCATGACTGTTGGATCTGTTGGTTTTCTATTACTCTACTACACCTACTAGTAAATGATTTGGCATGTAGAAATATAACTTATACCAAAAACATTGGTCTGCTTAGTGATGTTGGACTGCTATTATTTTGAACACAGCTGTATCTTACTAGAGGCAAAACTTTTTTTATTTGTTTTGTTTTGGATAGAGTGGAGAGGGATTAGAACACCAGTCAGGTTTATATTGCTGTCTGTACCCTGTTAAGGAAACAGTAGTTGGTTCTTAGAACATGGGTTATATGCCACTATCTTCGGGTGACTGTACAATGGTAAATGCTTTGCTGGGACTGCCCCTCTGTGTACCTCTTTGCCTACTCTGTGAGAATCCAGTTTTTTGCCTTAGATGAGTCACCATTTCTGTTGGAGATGATTATTTTTGTATTTTTTCACCAGTTTTCCTTTTTTTCAACTAAAACTTGAGTAAGTTGAGACAGTGCTTAGTAGTTTCTGGCTAGATACACCTGCTCAGCTTCCACATACTCCTAGACACATCCTAGAAAGCTTTTCCCTATTGTTTTTCAAATCGATTAGATTTTATGCACTAACTGTGCACTCTTTGCAGGAAGTTACTCCTTTTTCAGGTGCTTCTGCCCACACAGAGGTTCAAGGCAGTTACTCCATTAAAAGGTCCCCTGTATGAATGGAGGTACTTTCTTTCCATTGCCCTTGGCAGCCATGTTTCTGTCTTAGCCCCCTCCCCATTTGGGAGCCCCCACTTTTTCTTTCGCTACAATAGAAACCAAGGTGCTTTGGTGCTCTTTTCAACAGCATCTGTGGGAATGTCATTCTTCCTTCCCTGAATATGTCAAATTATTTCTAGTTTTCCTTATGGGTGCAGACAAGACTGTCCTCTATGGGCTACCTGCCATGTCTTTCCTTAGAACCTGACCCCTTATCTGTTTCCTTACAGGGAAGTCCCTCTGTAGAATGCCATCACCTCTGCAAGGAGAATTTCAGAGTTGGGGCCTTAACCTATAAAGAACCCTTCTTGTGCTACATAGAGACAAGGTTGCCTTGAGGTTTCAGGACTCTTCTTCCCATGGCAGTTTCTTCCTTTGACCCTGTTTTTCCCATCTCTTTCCTGTTTCAAGACATCCCATAAAGATTTCTTCCATTTTTTTGTGGTACATGCTGTTTGAGGCTATCTGTTTTTCATTCTATATAATCTTCATAAAGGACAGCCTGCTTCTAGTTCCATCAACTCTTAAGTGCACTGCACTGAATCACTTTGTGATTTATGGACTTTCCTGCATCATGCATGTTTTTATCAGATTTGCAAGGCAGCCACCTGGTCTTCTGTTCACACATTTTGTTTTATCAGGTGGACGTTGAAGCCTCATCTGATGCCAGCTTTGTAAGGTTTTTCGGTTGTTTTCATGTTGCACCTCCTTTGTTTCCTGGCTTTTACTAGTGAGCATGTTTGCTGTGTTCACCCCTCATTTAGACTGCTTTTGGGTGTTTTGTATTCCAGGAGGTTGCATCCTTGCTTTTCTTCTGACTGGTCTCGATCTGCAATTTGGTCTTGAGTACTAGGACAAATCTCAGCTTTAATACTTCTTTTCCAAAGACCATTTGCTTCTCATTCCCTGGCGAATGTTTTTGTACAGTGTGTTGCTCATAGTTCTCCCTGTGACATCAAGGGATCGCAGCCTGGTTCTGTCAGTTCTTCAAAAAAAAAAAAACACCCTCTGAACTCACCTGAGTGATTCCCCTGCCTACTCTTCCTCACAAGGTAGCTTTTCTTGCTGCCATCACATCTGTGAGGTGAGTTTGAGCTGTTTTGTAAGGCACCTTTTATGATATACTCCTGTTACTTATTTTCCCCAAAATGGAGCTTGATGGGAATTGGAGGGGTTGTATCAGGCTGAGTGACAGTCTTGTTTGCTAGTGTACAAATTCCTGTAAGCAGCATTATAACACCTACCTTAAATGAGCCCGTCTCTCCTAATAATCTCCCAAGAAAAGTATTTTACAGTAAGTACCAAAATTCAGTTTTTGCTGGGGAGGGGGGTTGGGGGGTTAATACTGTCCTATAGTTTGAGACTTTGTTGCCATGCGTCTGTGATGCATATCGATAGCAGTCATGTGCCTTTAGCTTGCAGTGATGGATGTTTAACCATGTGTACCTTCAATGTTATGCAAGTAATTTTTTTACAGATGTATTTTATCCTGCTTCACATTAACCATCTTGTTTATTTGTGTATTTTTTTCTATTTCATTTGTTAAAAGGAGGCATCCAATGAGAGGAAACCGCTTGTGGACAGCAGTCATCGCTCTCACAGCTCCTCCTCCTACCCTTATACCCACAATCCTTCTGTCTTATCCTATGAACCCCAACACTACCCAACCCAGATACAGCACCCATCTCATGAGGTACTGGCGCCCAGCATGGTGGGTGAGGCACACAGACCACCAGGTATTGCACACAACTTTCCTGCATGTTGATTGCCTTGGTTTTGTGGCTTACTTTGCTTACGTTAGCATTTCTTCATTGAACACCATTCGCTTTACCCATAATTTCCTTTGTACTGTCTTAATTTGGTTTAATCTAGTCTGCATTTATTTAATTTTGTATATCCATTTTTAATGAGGATACAAGTGTCTGACATGGATGTTGTGTAATCTGTATTTTTTTGCCAGCACATAGGGAGTCACAAGAACCATTGGATTTTGTCGTCCTTCTCTAGGAGGGCAGGTCTTAAATGGTTAATCCACTTAAATCTGATATTAGCATTATGGGTCCATAGCTCTAATGACCCACTGGTCTTCATCTGTTGGGGATTTGCACAGCAAGATAACCTCAGTTTGCATGCACACAAAATAAGGGCTGCCATCTCCTGCCCTGTGAGCGAGAGTTGGCAAGCTCTGTGCAGGTGACCAGTGAGGTGCTTTCAGAAAACCTCTTTCCACTTTGGGCATCAAGCTGCACTTAACGTGGTCTTTCTGTGGCTGTGAGCATTAACCAGATATCCCTGAATTACCGAAGAGCAGGGATTAATTAGCCTGTCATCAAGAATTAGAAGTTCCATTTATAATTACTGTGAAAATGATCCTGCAGCATACAGTTGTGACCAAAATTATTCAACCCCCAATGCTGTAAAGGGGTTTAGGGACTATAGTGTACATTTGGAATTGTATTCAGAATCAAATCCTACAAGGACGTTGTAACTCCAAATGCAACTAAAATGACATCAATTGTTTATGTAATACAGTAGTAAATGGTTCTTATGTGGTTTCTTCATTGCCACAATTATTCAACCCCTTAAAGACTACCACTCTGAAGAACAGAGGTTCATACAGGTGCTTTCCATCAGGTATTGAAAACACCTGTGGATGTCACCGAGCAGCAATCAAGCATAATAAGCACCAATTAGGCAGCTTTAAAATGACTGTGATCTCAGCTCCTTCTAGACATTTACTGGTGTGGTTACAAACATGGTGAAGGCAAGAGAATGGTCCAGGAAGACAAGAGAAGAGGTGATTTCTCTTCACAGGAAGGGCAATGGCTATAAGAAGATTGCAAAGATGTTAAACATACCAAGAGACACCTTAGGAAGCATCATTCGCAAATTCAAGGCAAAGGGCACTGTTGAAACGCTACCTGGTCGTGGCAGAAAGAAGATGCTGACTTCGACTGCTGTGCGCTACCTGAAGCGTAGAGTGGAGAGAAGTCCCCGTGTGACTGCTGAGGAACTGAGAAAAGATTTGTCAGATGTGGGTACAGAAGTTTCAGCCCAGACAATAAGACGCACACTGCGTAATGAAGGCCTCCGTGCCAGAACTCCCCCTGAATAAGAAGAGTCGACTGCAGTATGCCAAAAGCCATGTGGACAAACCACAAAAGTTGTGGGATAGTGTTCTGTGGACTGATGAAACAAAATTAGCTGTTTGGGCCCATGGATCAACCTATGTTTGGAGGAGGAAGAACAAGGCCTATGATGAAAAGAACACCTTGCCTACTGTGAAGCATGGTGGAGGGTCATCATGCTTTGGGGCTGCTTCTGCAGGTACAGGGAAGCTTCAGCGTGTGCAAGGTACCATGAATTCTCTTCAGTACCAGGAGATATTGGATGGAAACGTGATGCAGTCCGTCACACACCTGAGGCTTGGGAGACGTTGGACCTTTCAACAGGACAATGATCCCAAGCATACCTCCAAGTCCACTAGAGCATGGTTGCAGAGGAAAGGCTGGAACATTTTGGAGTGGCCATCGCAGTCACCAGACTTAAATCCGATTGAGAACCTCTGGTGGGACTTAAAGAAAGCAGTTGCAGTGCGCAAGCCTAAGAATGTGACTGAACTGGAGGCCTTTGCCCATGAAGAATGGGCGAAGATACCCGTTTCGCTGCAAGACACTGTGTCAAGCTATGCTTCACGTTTAAAAGCTGTTATAACTGTAAAAGGATGCTGTACCACTTGGGGGTTGAATAAAACTTAATGCTGTGAGCACAGAAAAGACATTTGTGGTTATTTCATTATAACTGTTATGTTATATTTGTCTGACCTACAAGTGCCTCTTTAATGTAAATGTAAGCAAGATGACTGAATGATCAAAAGCAATGTCAAAACTGGCCAAAACACTCAATTTCAGTGGGGGTTGAATAATTTTGGTCACAACTGTAGCTGCAAAAAAAAAAAAAAAAACTGAGCTGAAGGAAAGTCTGCTGTTGGTGAAACTTGTCATATTGTACAAGTATACATGCATATTTTGCACATTATGGCAGGCTTACCTGCAAAGGACCACCACCCCAGTACTCTACTTGATCTCTCACTGCCACTAACTTCTTGGTGCAGTTATCTTCTGGGTTTGGCATGTTCAACCATCATGATTGGCAGGCCCAGAATGATGCAATTCCGGTGAATGCGCATGTCAGGTACTCCATCCCTATACTCGGTAAGTGCTAAGATTGTACAATGAGCTGTGAATGTATGGCTTGGTGTATATTGAAAAAAAAATTGCTGGCAAGATCCTTTTTTTGCAGAAGAGAAATACAAATCTCTTCTAAAAAAAAAACAACAAAAAAACACCTGCCCAGCAGTGTTATTAAAACAATAGATGAGTTCCACTTTAAAGAGGTTTGCTATGTTCTAGGGGGAAAAGGAGAATTGTTAGTTGTGTCTAAGGAGAACCCTGAAAAATGTACCTTTTTGTCTTAAATTCCTCCTGGAAAATAGCCGTAAGCTTCCTGGTATGTAAGGGTGCCTGGGAATTCCTGTGCTGTACAGCCTTAGACCTGCATGTTTTGGTTTCCTAGAAGCCTCCTCCTGGCAGCAGCGTTTTGGCCAAAAAAAAGCCCCACCAAACTCTTGTAAACATGCGTAATGCATTTAGCCACGTTAACCATTTTGTCCATTTCATCGGTCAGAATAAATAATTTTTTCTGGCCATTGATATAAATTACTGCTCAAAAGCTAAACGCACCTTGCGTTAATGCGCATTTAGACACGTTTACATGTATCAAGCTTTTTTTCTGCCAAAATCCTGCTGCTCCTGGATGCGCTGTCAATGGGCTTTTTTTTTCCTTCCTCTAAATCCTCCTGCCACTAAACCTCTCTAAAACTTTGTGTTCCTGGACACATAGGCTAACATGCAGAGGAGCTTAGAGGCAGGAAAAAAAAATGCAGAACACCCTTATAGGAGCAACTGTAAAAATGTCCAGTGTGCATGAGGCCTTATAGTTGTATATCTGCAGTGTGAGATCTAAGGCACTGCTAGTCTTAGAAGATCTGGAGTGTGATTTAGTGAGGTCGCTACTGTACTGCCCACTTGTTGCTAGATGTTCTCCCATGAGGTAGCAAAAGTATTGCTTCTACAAGATGGCATACAGAGACACAATGCAGAACAAGGCATAGTAAGTCAGGAACAGGGAAAAGATCAGCTGAAGAAAGACCAGACAATACCTGTGACTAGCTCTTTGCCCCCCACCTGCCTTTTTTTCCCTTTGGCTCAGCTTCCAGAATCCAGTCTCCTCTTTAAATATAATCCAATCAGTTATGTAGTGACATGGTAATGGCTTCAACTCCCATAGCCCCCTGCTTGTTTACAGCAAAATGTAGACAGTAATTCAGGCCAACAGGGGTGCCCACAGAGCATCAGTATGCCTGTATGGTGAGGTAAGAATATAATTAGGTGGCACCAGAGATGCAATCTGCAAAAACAGGTTCTGAGCTTTGATGAGAGGGAAGTCATGATGTGTTACTGCTTGTGGATTGAAAACCAGATGGAATTCCCTTTGTACTGTATTTTTGTGGATGTGAATGGCTGGATTGCTAAACCAATACAGTTCAGTGCTATTCTAAATTCCTATTTGATAAAATTCCCTTTAGGATAAGTTTATATATGTGTGCGCATTTGGATCGCTTTTGAGAAGTGTTTGACAGGTGGTGGGGAGGCGATGTGATGCTAACTCCTCATTGGTTTTAACCCCATAATTGCCATACCAGTGCACCACAGCTGCGTACATTGCACATTTTTCCATTTGTTTGAAAAAATTGTTTTGCTGCCGGCTGCAAAGCATGGCAACCTTAGCCTATGAACACCATTGTCTTTAGCGGCTTAGGAGGGGTGGCCTATTGCTGATTATTTGATCCCATGATCCTGGTCATATCTGACATTATACAGTAAAAACATTAAACCCTGGTAATTTTGCCATGTTTGAGTCCTTAAAGCCTAATTCTACTCTTCATGTCCCTTTTTTTCTTTGTTTGGGCCAATCTATCTACTGCACAGATGAGCTTGCTGGATGTGCTGTATTAAATATATGTTGCCTCAGCTGCATACAGTATACAGCACTCTGCTTTGGCAGTGGGACTGAGTCTTCCTATCCCGCTCCTGGAACAAAATAGAATCAGGCTAAGTGCTGCTCAGCCAATCACAGGAAACATTTTCTATGAATGAATACAAAGCTTCCTCTGATTGGCTGAGGCAGTTAGATAATATCATAATGTCCACCTCAGCCAGTCAGAGGAAACTTTGCATTCATTCATAGAATATAAAGCTTCCCATGAATAGCTGAGCAGCCCTCAGACCGACTGTATTTTGTTCCAGGAGAGGGACAGGAAGAACCCGTCCCACTGCCAGAACACAGCGCTGTATACTGCATGTAGCTGAGGCTACATACTGATAATAGAGTGCAGTAAACTTTGGACCAGCTTCATCCAAACAACCTATTAAAGTGGGAATAAAGGCATATTCTAACTAACTCTATACCTACTCTCAGCCACATTTTAAGCCTAATCTATCTAGCCCTGTAAAGAAAAAAAATCACTACACTTACCTGTTCTGCAGCTGCTTTAGTCCCATGCTGAGCTGTCAGCGGCAGCTTCAGTTTGTAGGAGAGGCAGCCAGCAACGGAAGCCCATTAGTAACACTATATAACGTCACTTCCAAGGCATTTCTAAGCCGTTGTCGCCTG